CCTGCACGTTCCACTTGACTGCGGTTGTCATATTTTATGGCACTGTCCTTTTCATGTATTTCCGACCCACCTCCAGCTATTCCATGGACACAGACAAAATAGCCTCGGTGTTTTACACTCTGGTGATCCCCATGTTGAACCCCCTCATCTACAGCCTGAGAAACACGGAGGTAAAGGATGCCCTGAGGAAAGCCACGAACAAACTCCTGACACATTCTTGAATCTGTTTAACTCATTGCTGGTTGAGTGATGGGCAGTGGAACCGGGTGAATTCAAATCCTAGCCCATTGCAGTATAATTTCACAGTGCCTGTGGTGTTTTTATGATTTTTAATTTGTTTGTATTCCAACAAAGTTTGCACTCCCCAACTGAAATCAGGACTTCAGGGGTTCATTATCCCAGCAAAATTAAAGGAGGCAGCTATGTGCATATATAAATATCTGAGAACTGCTTTTAAAGCATAGAGCAGTTCGTTTTGGTGAAGAAGGGAGAGGCATGGAGATTAGCTCCCTCTACATAGCGGGCTGACTTCATTATGAATTTGCAAGTGTGAAGTGTGTGGCTGAGTCAAAGGGAGTTTTGCGCATCTGCTCTTTAGCCCTTTATGTGCTCCATGAGGTTGTTGTTGAGACTGTCACCTGGGGTGTGTCTAAACTACATGCCTCCGTCGACGGAGGCATGTAGATTAGCCGGATCGGCAGAGGGAAATGAAGCTGCGATTAAAATAATCGCGGCTTCATTTCCCTCTGCCGATCCGGCTAATCTACATGCCTCCGTCGACGGAGGCATGTAGATTAGCCGGATCGGCAGAGGGAAATGAAGCTGCGATTAAAATAATCGCGGCTTCATTTCCCTCTGCCGATCCGGCTAATCTACATGCCTCCGTCGACGGAGGCATGTAGATTAGCCGGATCGGCAGAGGGAAATGAAGCTGCGATTAAAATAATCGCGGCTTCATTTCCCTCTGCCGATCCGGCTAATCTACATGCCTCCGTCGACGGAGGCATGTAGATTAGCCGGATCGGCAGAGGGAAATGAAGCTGCGATTAAAATAATCGCGGCTTCATTTCCCTCTGCCGATCCGGCTAATCTACATGCCTCCGTCGACGGAGGCATGTAGTTTAGAAGTACCCCTGGTTCCTGTCCATGCATGAGAAGAAGAAAGGAAATTTCCACCTCAATGGTCTTTATTTTAAGGTAAGGGAACAACAAAACAAGGAAGGTGAACGTTCCCAAGAAAGAGCACAGTGTGTGTGCCTCTGTGACAGTACACGCGAAAGTGAGTACAATATATCACGGACAGTGTACGTTTTCTCTACAACATAAAGTAGAGAGAAAGATAAAGTCATTTCAGACACTAGATAATTGTACAACATCAACAGGTTCACTATGCATCCTTGATCTTAGTTCCGTTGGAAAGAATTACAGACTCTGACACATAGGGTGTGTCTAGACTACAGGGTTTTGTCGACAAAAGTAGACTTTTGTCGACAAAACTATACCTGCGTCTACACCGCTGTTGAGTTCTGTCGACATAATGTCGACAAAACTCAGTAGTTTTGTCGATGGCTGTAAACCTCATTCTGTGAGGAATAATGCCTTTTGTTGACAGAGCTCTGTCGACAGAAGGTGTTATTGCATCTACACTGTCCTTTGCATCTACACTGTCATGTCGACAAAGTGGCTTGCTTTGTCGACAGAACTGGATGTAGTCTAGACACTCTTTGTCGACAGAAGCTTCTGTTGACAAAAGCCTGTAGGCTAGACGTACCCAAAAATTTTCTTTGTCTTAGTAAGGGACAGAGGGGAACTAATGAGGAAATGGAGGAATTCAGCCATGCCATTGCAAGGCACATTTTATTTAAATTGAATAGGTCACTGCCCACATGTTTTCATCAGTCCCGATCTGGCTAATCTACATGCCTCCGTCGAAGGAGGCATGTAGTCTAGACACACCCATAGGGACTGTGGGAATTATACGGCTCAGGGGGCTGTGAGTAAGAAATGCACAGAGCTGACCAAGAGCTTGGTTTTGAGTTCCCGGGTTGTTGAGAAAAACTCAGGTTCACACCATCCAAATCTGAAAATTCCTTAAATATGTGGCTAATGTAAAACATTGGCCAACATTCCCTGTGGAGTCAAAGGAAGCATTCAATACAACTGTAAATGGAACATTCCCTTTCCTTCCTGGGCAATTTTTAGTGCACAAGCAAAGACAATGAAGGGCTTGGCTGACAAGACGTATAGGAATGGAAGAGGGGGTGATGGTGCTGCTTCCTAGGTAGACTTTAACCCAGTGTTTAGAACATTTTGTGGCATGTGGGGGACACAGGTCAAACCCCCCAAATCGGTCTGATGAGGAGAAGCTATTTTAAGTGGTTCTTCCCTGTTACTGGACAGTACCCTGGTAACTGGGCAATAGTATGTCCTGTATCTTCCTCGGGGCTAGTCTATGCTAGTGCTGTGCATAGATCTAAATTACCAGAGTTCAAAAGTGCATGGGAGAGTTTCTGAAGTAGCCTACCATAGATCACCAGTGTCTACCATTGATCACCAGAGTTTTGTAACTGATGACTGGTGACTATGGTAAACTACTTCAGTTACAAAACTCTGGTGATCAATGGTAGACACTGGTGATCTATGCTAGGAATTGGTGATCTATGGTAGACTAGTTCAGTTCCGAAACTCTGGTGATCAATGGTAGACACTGGTGATCTATGGTAAACTACTTCAGTTATGTAACTCTGATGATCTATGGTAGACTACTGGTGACTATGGTAAATTACTTCAGAATTTCATAATTGAAGTAGTCTGTCATAGATCACCAGAGTTTCATAACAGAAGCAAAAACAACAGATGGTCTGGTAGCACTTTATAGACTAACAAAACATGTAGATGGTATCGTGGGCACAGCCTGAAGAAGTGGGCTGTGTCCACAAAAGCTCATGATACTATCTAAATGTTTTGTTAGTCTATAAAGTGCTACCAGACCATTTGTTGTTTTTTTCTGTAACAGACTAACTTGGCTACCCCCTGAAGCTTCAAAAATGAAGTAGTCTACCATAGATCAACACCTGGAGTCATTTAAGATTTTCTGTCAATTTTGATTTCAAGTATGACCTTTGGAGAACATGAAACATGGAATCTCACCCACTAATTATAGCTGGATCATCTCTTTTAGAAACCGATGTAGTCTTGATGTGAAGGGGTAAGTGGTGTTAAATCTACCACAACTCCTGGCCTGTTTCCTTGCTTAGGTTGAAAACCAGCTCAGGTTCACTGCCATTGAAGGTCTTGCCCCTTTGCTTCAATAGAGCTGTGCGGATTTACACCAGCTGGAGTTCTGGCGAATGATTCCAATGGAGAAATACCCATTTACAAAAGCAGGGGATCTGGTCAAATGGGCAATGCCCATGTAGTGGTTACACCACTGAGCATGTTTATCCACATCCACCAGACCCAGCACAGTGCAGACAGGCCATGAGCATCCTTGGGGGGCACAAGGTGTCAGGAGGCCCTGCAGCAGGTGTCAGGAGGCCCTGTCACCCTGTTTGATATCACTACAAGCCAGTGGAGAATCCACATTCATTTTTCCCTAGCTCAGAAAGCCTGATGGGCAAACACAAGAGGCTGCCCCTGGGAAAATCTCCATGTGAGAGGTTGGGCAGGCAGGGATCATTGGTATTTCAGCAACTGCCAGATTCTGCACCAGTAGAAAGAGAAATGCCATTTGCAATGCCCAGGAGCTACTTGTGTTAGAACTGGGTTATTTCCCAAGATGAAATCCCTGCCCATGAAGGATCTTATATTGGAGAGATCCCAGCATACAAGGGCAGAGAAAGTGAATTATCCCAACTTTCATAGAATTATCTTTTCAATGCAAATTATCAGCTGTCCAACGAAATATCAAACTCGTCTCATCTTACAAGGCAATTCAGCAAGAAAGACCATCATGCCTCATAGGGATGAAGTGCAGCCTAGGATCCAGGCCCATGGCAGAGTGGTATTGCGAGATCTCTGTGGTATTTGTGAGCCAAAATATTATATTTTCGGCCAAAAGCATTTGGTCGCCATAAACCACAAAACACACCCTCTCTTTGTTGATCAACTGTCCACTCTGAATAACATGGGAGGCAAGAGAAGATCAAATTAATCCCTAGGGCCTGAGTTACTCTGAAGGTGTCTTTGGTTCCCTGAGCACCTTAATTAGGTGTCATGATCTTCTGAGAGTCGGTATTCCCACTTGCTTCAGCAAGCTTCTCCCACAGATCACAGATCTCAGTATAAAACTTCCCACCCACTCTGTAGAGGCAGTTTCTGACCATGGGGAAACTCCGCCACATCTCTCGTTTCTCAGTCACAGCTATACAGGCACCAAAGTGATGAGCAGGGTTGGAACTCAAGAGTTTCTGAACTAAACAATGCAGCCCCAGCTCCTAGCACATGGGCTAAGGACAAAATCTCTTTGGTTGGAAAAAAGGGCAATTGAATCATCACTGTAGCCAGTGCTTTTTTCCAGGTTTTCCTGCACACTGGAGAAATGTCATTTTCAGAGGCTGAGAAGCATCATTATAACGGTGAGCAACCTTTATCTCACCAACATGGGTAGGAAGACTGATATTCGCTTACTCGCACCCCTTCTTGAGCTAAGCAATAATTTCATCACATTGAGACAGGTTTCATCCTGATACTCCCACAGCAGAGTCACAAGTCTCTGTTTGCTGCTCAGATTAGTGAATGACAGTGTTTGTACATGGGACGTGATTGACCTGTGAGTCCTTGCATGTGTACAGTGTGTGCACTGTATGGAACACCTCATATAACCAACTGTGACCATCTGGCTGTGAGAACTAAGCCTTTCTCTGTGCTCGTACCGGTATCCATTAAGAAACTGGCCTCCTTTTTCTTCACTTGTTTCCTTAAAAAGAAGAGATAGGTTTTGGTAGCCACTTCCCCACGTCAACCACCTCCTCACATCATTGTAGCTGCCTGATCTCAGCTGAGAGGAAATGGAAGAGGGAAATCACTCGGTGGTGACTGAATTCATTCTCACAGGACTGACTGATCGTCCAGAGCTGCAGGCCCCTTTGTTTGTGGTGTTCCTACTGATTTATGTTGTCAGCATAGTAGGGAATGGGGGGATGGTCTTATTAATCATAAGTGATCCCCGACTCCACACCCCCATGTACTTTTTCCTTGGTAATTTGTCTTTCTGTGATTTCTGCTATTCCTTTGTAATTGCCCCGAAGATGATGCAGAATTTCTTAGCCAAGAGGAAAAGCATTTTTCGCACTGCCTGCGCTTTGCAAATGTTTTTTGATATCACTTTCCAAGATGTTGAGTGTCTCTTGCTGGCTGTGATGGCGTACGACCGTTATGTGGCCATCTGCAACCCACTGCTCTACATGGTCACCATGTCCAGGGGTCTTTGTAACCACCTCGTGGCTGGAGCCTTTGTTGTAGGATTGGTGGATGCAATCACAAACACATACTATACATTCCGGCTGTCATTCTGCCACTCCAACATCCTCAATCATTTCTACTGTGACATTCCCCCATTGCTGGCGCTCTCCTGCTCTGATACCAGCATCAATGAGACTGTGCTGTTTGCCTTTGCTTGCTTTGTTATAGTGAGCAGTGTTGTGACAATTATCCTCTCCTACGTTTGCATCATCCCCACCATCCTGCGGATCCGCTCTGCTGAGGGCCGGCACAAAGCCTTCTCCACCTGCACTTGTCACCTGACTGCGGTGGCCATGTTCCATGGCACCCTCCTTTTTATGTACTTACGACCCAGCTCCAGCTATTCTTTGGGCACCGATAAAATAGCCTCCGTGTTCTACACGCTGGTGATCCCCATGTTGAATCCCCTCATCTACAGCCTGAGGAACAGGGAGGTGAAGGACGCCCTGAGGAAAGTCATGAATAAACTCCATAGCAATTCCTGAATCTATTTAAATTCTTGTGTTTCTGTTCACTTTTTCTAAATCATCAATGAGTTAATACCAAGCCCATTGAAATATATTTGCACAGAGCACATGGTATTATTATTATTATTATTATTATTATTATTATTATTATTATATTATAACCAAGCCTGCAGGTCGCAATTGAAATCTGGGCTTTCTTAGGATATTGAGAAAGCCAAACTAAAGGAGGCCCCGATGTCAGATGTGTGAGTGGGTGTTTATATATATGCACCTTAAAATCATGGAGCTGTTTTCACAGGGGAAAGCAAGAGGGGCATTAAGTCAATCTCCCTTTCTTTGCTGCGGGCTTGGATTCATGACACAGATGCAAGTGTGAAGTGTATGATCTCTGTTGTTGACAAAAAGGGAGTTGGGTGCCCTTTCTGTAATCTGTGGGGTTGTTGCCTAGTTTGGGTCCTTTCAGGAGGAGTGGAAAGGAGATCTCCATCACATTAGCCTGTATTTTAAGTTAAGGGAGCAGCAAGAACAAAAAAGAGAAGACATATGGTTTCCAGGAGACAGTAGGGTGTGGGTACATTCTCTGTGACTGATTGGAAAGTGTGAATTTTCTCTACCACTGAAATTAAACAGAAAGATGAAGTTGTATCAGACACTAAATATTTATATCTCATCAGCAGGTTAGCTACAAATTCTTGCTCTTTCCTTGAATCATGGTATCATTGGACTTGAAGGGACCTCGAGAGATCATCTAGTCCAGACCCCTGCCCTCATGGCAGGACTAAGCACCATCTAAGATCATCCCTGACAGGTGTCTGTGCAGCCTTCTCTTAAATATCTCCTAAATATGTAAATGAACCCACTTCTTTCAGTCTTCCCTCACAGGACACGTTTTCTAGCAATTTAATCATTGTTGTTGCCCTTTGCTGGACTTGCCCAGTTTCTCCACATCGTTCCTGAAATGCAGTGCCCAGTGGACACCACACTCCAGTTCAGTTGTAATCGGTGTAGAGTGGAAGAATTTCTGCTCGTGTGTTGTTTACAGCACTCCTTCCTGCCTATGGGCTACTGGGACCTTTAGACAGCTTTCTGCATCAGTCATTTCCCATCCTATTTCCCTCAGATCATTTCTACAGCCTGTCAAGATCATTTTGAAGTCTCAGTTTACCCTTCTAGGAACTTGCAACCCATCCCAGCCGGGCACTCTCTATGCCGTTTCCTAAATTACTGATGACAATTCCGAACAGAACCAGACCCAGAACTGATTCTTGTGAGACCCCTACTTATTATCCATTTCCACCATGACTGTGAGACATTGCTGGATTGTGCCCGGGTTACAGGGTTCTGTCCCGGCTGTTTCTCACGGATGCCAATGCTGTAAATCTATCTATGTGATGTTATTTCAAGTAGACGCAATTTAGGTTGATTTACAGTGGTAGCGTAGACCAGCCCTGAGACAATTCCATGCTGGAACAGAGTCACTGAGGGGGGAGCAGTACGGCTGTCGAGTGGGCAAGTGTTCTCTCATCGACCTGGCATGCCTTCTACCAGCTTGTGAAATAAACCCTGCTTCATTTATCGCAGCAGAGTCAATTTAGCCAGAGGTGTAGACGTTGCCAGACTCTCACGGGCCTACCTACAGAGTGAGATGGTCAACTTGTGTCTTTATTCCAAAGATTATTTAATTACTTATCTGCCATAAAACAGCTTTGGAAGGAAAGGTTGAGAGCAACCAAGGGCTGACTAGCAAATTACTCAGTGGTTGGAATTCCTTCTGGAAATACAAGAAACCGAAGGGCACATCTCTACCACACACTGGACAGAAGCAGGAAGTAAATCTTGATCTCCCACCTTAGAGGCGAATAGCCTATGTAGGGGAGCCTAGACAGGCCTGTCTTGACCGAAATAACATCTGCTTTACCCAAAGTACTGACTTCTAAAAAAGCAAAACCCAGGCCTGTCTCAAGTCTGATGCACATAGCATGGAGGTAAGGCTGGGGCTGTGAGGCAGGAATGTTTTTGTACAATCATGCATCTCCAGCGTAGTACATTATGATCATGCCAAGAGCACCAGGAGTAACCTGGTACATTTTATTTCTGATAAACAAAAAGCAGATACAGCCATAGAACTGTTAACCAAGCACATAGTTTTGCAACATCCTGAGTAGCAGGATGTACCTCAAATAAGGGCAAAATAGGTATCTTACACGATACGTGATCAATTGGTATGTAGTTTTAGAACAATAATTAAAAGACCCTTACACCGGCCACAGTAGTGCATGGGATCCAAAAGTGTGGGAGTCAAAGAGACCACAAACCTCCTCCCTGGTATTGTAGGTGGCATAGGGATGAAGTGTAAGTGAACTAGGTTTAATTATTGTATTATAATAAATCTTCTATTAATTGCTTTTGAATTGTTTAGTATTGAACTAATTGCTTTCAAATATATAATATTTAAGGTTTAGACTGTGTAGTAATTGTTCTTAAAGCTTGCAAAATGTCAAGGACTATATTAACTGCTTGAAGGGTTATAATAAATAAGGAAGTCGTTAAGTCTCTCTGGAATATACTGGTTTCCCTAGGATAAAAAATAAATCGAACCACACAACAGCCTAATACTGGCAAAATTTACAAAAGCCACTTCCTACGTTTGGCTTTGTTTGTGACTGGCACCAAAATCCACACACAACCACAGAATTTGGGAACAAAGCTAGAATTTGAAACACATTTGTGAATAGTTTTACGTCAACCAAAACCGCATTGCTTTTAACAGTGCATAAATAGTGTAGAGGATATTCATCCATTTCTAGACACCTTTTTGTCTTGGTTGCTGCACCTAAAGTTGACATTCTGAAGACTTGGGTATGGCACCATTGAGTTCAAGTCCCTTTCCATATCTTGAATGCACCCTCAGAACTCCCAGATGGCGTGATCTTAGCTTCCGTAGTCAACATTCATGAATTGAAATGATGCTCCACTGTTTGATGATGCTCACAGTAAAGATCGATAGATAATTCATGCCACAGCTTACATATAATCCATTCACTATTTATACCAAAGTAGAAGAAAATCTATATATGACATTAACCATATTTTTACTTTCCACGTACAGTGACCACAAATTTCAATACAACTTTTAAAATGCAGTAATTGTATCAAAAACAAAAACAAAAAACCCTTTCTGTGTGTACAATATATAATTGACTCTTCTCTTTCCAACCATTTTGAAAGACCATTTTCAAAGGTTTTACTAATTCAGGACAGATCTGGACAAATATGGAAATGCAGCTCTTCAATTCTTTCTGAGTTGCTTTGCCCATCTCTGTGGGGAGTAACCAGACTTTCCTGCCTTATTACATGGTTCATAAATATTTGTAAGTCTTTATATCACCCTCATGTATTTAGTACTCTGAGACTGTGCCATAGTACACACAGGGTTTTCTTTAACTTGCCAGGAGTTCAAAGGTACTACACTTATTTACGTCAGCTAGAGATCTGGACCATTGGCTTCAATAAAGCCATGTCACTTTATATGGCCTGGGTTAGTTGACTGACTTCATTCAAGTGTAGCAAATTGTCCATAGATTCGCAATTTCTAGTATGACCTTCTGAGACACACACACAACATGGAACTTCACCCTCCAATTACAACTGGACCACCTCAATTAGAAACCCATCCAGTCTTGATGTGAAGGGGTAAATGGTATTAAATCTACCATGTCTCCTGACCTGATTTCCTGCACCTGTCTGAAAATGTGCTCAACTTCACAGAAGTTGAAGATCTGGCCCTTTGGTTACAATGGAGTTGTGAGGATTCACATAAGCTGGGGATCTGGCCAATGACTCCAATGGAGAGACCTCCATTTACCCAGCAGGGGATCTGGTCTAATGGGCAGTGCCCATGCTATGGTTATCTCCTTAAGCATGTCTATGAATGTCCACCAGACCTAGCACAGTGCGGGCAAGCTCTGAGCTTCCTCCGGGGGCACAAGTTGAGGACTGTAGCAGTTCAAAGGAGGCCTGGTCTAGCTGTGTGACATCACTACAAGCCAGGGGAGAATCCACATCCTCTTTTCTCTACCTCAATAATACATTTGGCAAAGCACAAGGGGCTGTTACTGGGAAAATCTCCCCGTGAGAGACTAGGCTGGCAGTGCTCATCTATATATCAGCAATTGCCAGATTCTGCACTTGTAGGAAGAGAATTGCCATTTGCAATGCCCAGGAGCTGCCTGTGTTCAAACTGGATTATTTCACAAGTTGAAACCTATGCCCATGAAGGAGTGTATACTGGAGAGATCCCAGCACAGACAGGCAGAGAAAGCAAATTGTTCCCTCTTCTATGGAATGATCTTTCCTATGCAAATTATCAGCTTTCCATCAGTCTTGCCTGCTCACCAAGTCTTCACTGTGGGACTCTGGTGAGGTTCCAGGGCTGTTTAGCAAGAGGAGAGCCCATCATGCATCATGGGGGATGGAGCCCAGCCTGGGAGCCTGGCCCATGGTAGGAAACGTTGTGATGTGGTACCCGAGGCACCTCGGTAGTATATGTGGGAGAAAACAGAAAGTTTTCTTGTGGTCTCCACAAACCACAAAAACCCCCTGTCTCTTGATCAATTGTACTCAGTAAAGAAAACAACGGGATGAAATACACCTCTAACCTCACACTCTGTAATTCTCATAAAAAGTGCGTCATTTAATGCCACAGGAGGAAAGAGAGGGCTTACTCTTTGGTTACCTGAGCACCTTAATTAGGTGTCATTATCTTCTGGGAGTCAGTATTCCCACTTGCTTCAGCAACTTGTCCCATACATCACAGACCTCGGTATAAAACTTCACACCCACTCTGTAGAGGCAGTTTCTGTCCATGGGGAAACTCCGCCACATCTCTTGTTTCTCAGTCACAGCTATACAGACTCCAAAGTAATGAACAGGGATGGAACTCAAGAGTTTCTGAACTAAACAATGCAGCCCCAGCTCCTAGCACATGGGCTAAGGATAAAACCTCTTTGTTTGGAAAAAGGGCAATTACATTGCCACTGTAGCCAGTGTTTTTTTCCAGGTTTTCCTGCACACTGGAGAAAATGTCATTTTTAGAGGCTGAGAAGCATAATTAGAATGGTGAGCAACCTTCATCCCAAATTGACACGCCGAGCTACAAAATTCCCAACATGGGTAGGAAGACTGATATTCGCTTACTCGCACCCCTTCTTGAGCTAAGCAATAATTTCATCAAACTGAAACAGTTTTCATTCTGATTCTCCCAGAGCAGAGTCAAAAGTCTCTGTTTGCTGCTTAGATTAGTGAATGACAGTTTTTGGAAATGGGACGTGATTGACCTGTGAGTCAATGCATGTGTTCAGTGTGTGCACTGTATGGAACACCTCATATGACCAGCTGTGACCATCTGGCTGTGAGAACTAAGCCTTTCTCTGTGCTTGTACTGGTATCCATTAAGAAACTGGCCTCCTTTGTTGTAGCCATTTCCCCACGTCAACCGCCTCCTCACGTCACTGTAGCTGCCTGATCTCAGCTGAGAGGAAATGGAAGAGGGAAATCACTCGGTGGTGACTGAATTCATTCTCACAGGACTGACAGATCGTCCAGAGCTGCAGGTCCCCCTGTTTGTGTTGTTCCTACTGATTTATATTGTCAGCATGGTAGGGAATGGGGGGATGACCTTATTAATCATAAGTGATCCCCGACTCCACACCCCCATGTACTTTTTCCTTGGTAATTTGTCTTTCTGTGATTTCTGCTATTCCTTTGTAATTGCCCCTAAGATGCTGCAGGATTTCTTAGCTAAGAGGAAAAGCATTTTTCGCACTGCCTGCGCTTTGCAAATGTTTTTTGATATCACTTTTCAAGACACTGAGTGTCTCTTGCTGGCTGTGATGGCCTATGACCGTTATGTGGCCATCTGCAACCCACTGCTCTACATGGTCACCATGTCCAGGGGTCTTTGTAACCACCTAGTGGCTGGAGCCTTTGTTGTAGGATTGGTGGATGCAATCACAAACACATACTATACATTCCGGCTGTCATTCTGCCATTCCAATATACTCAATCATTTCTACTGTGACATTCCCCCATTACTGGCGCTCTCCTGCTCTGATACCAGCATCAATGAGACCGTGATATTTGCCTTCTCTTGCATTGTTTTAGTGAGCAGTGTTGTGACAATCATCCTTTCCTACGTTTGCATCATCCCCACCATCCTGAGGATCCGCTCTGCCGAAGGCCGGCTCAAAGCCTTCTCCACCTGCACTTGTCACCTGACTGCGGTGGCCATGTTCCATGGCACCCTCCTTTTTATGTATTTTCGACCCACCTCCAGCTATTCCTTGGGCACCGATAAAATAACCTCCGTGTTCTACACGGTGGTGATCCCCATGTTGAACCCCCTCATCTACAGCCTGAGGAACAGGGAGGTGAAGGATGCCCTGAGGAAAGTCATGAATAAACTCCTCAGCAATTCCTGAATCTATTTAACTCATTGATGATTTAGAAAAAGTGAATGGAAACACAAGGATTTAATTTCAAACCCATTGTAATATATTTCCAGAGAGCATATGCTGGTATTTATTATTATTATTAATATGATGATGAAGATGGTGATGAATATGATTATTAATATATTACATCCAACCTGCAGGCTACAGTTGAAATCTGAGCTTTGTTAGGATATTGCTAAAGCCAAATTAAAGAAGATACCTTTGTCACATGTGTGAGTGAGTGTATATATATATGCACCTTAAAAGCATGGAGCTGATTTCACAGGGAAAGACAAGAGGGGCATTAAGTCAATTTCCTTTTCTTTGCAGCGGGCTTGGTTTCATGATGTAGCTTCAAATATGAAGCGTGTGATCTCTGTTGCTGAGCCACAGGGAGTTGGATGCCTTTCTGTGCTCTGTGGAGTTGTTGCCTAGTTTGGGTCCATGCAGGTGGACTAGAAAGGAGATTTACATCACATTAGCCTTTATTTTAAGTTAAGAGTCACTGAGGAGGGAGGAGTACGGCTGTCGAGTGGGCAAGTTTTTTCACATTGACCTGGCATGTCTTCCACCAGCTTGTGAAATAAACCCTGCTTCATTTATCACAGCAGAGTCAATTTAGCCAGAGGTGTAGATGTTGCCAGACTCTAACGGGCCCACCTAGAGAGTGAGATGGTCAACCTTGTGTCTCTATTCCAAAGGTTATTTAATTAGTTATCTACCATAAAACAGCTTTGGAAGGAGAGGTTGAGAGTAATCCAGAGCTGGCTAGCAGGTTTCTCAGTGATTGGAATTCCTTCTGGAAATACAAGAAACCGAAGGGCACATCTCTACCACACACTAGACAGAAGCAGGAAGTAAATCTTGATCTCCCACCTCACAGGCGAATAGCCTATGTAGGGGAGCTTAGACAGGCCTGTCTTGACTGAAACAACAACATCTGCTTTACCCAAAGTACTGACTTCTAACAAAGCAAAACCCAGGTTTGTCTCAAGTCTGATGCACATAGCACAGAGGCAAGGTTGGGGCTGTGAGGCAGGAATGTTTTTGCACAATCATGCATCTCCAGTGTAGTACAGTGTGATCATTTCAACAGAACCAGGAGTAACCTGGTACACTTTATTTCTGATAAGCAAAAAGTAGAGACAGCCATAGAACTGTTAACCAAGCACATAGTTTTGCAATATTCTGAGTAGCAGGATGTACCTCAAATAAGGGCAAAATAGGTATCTTACACGATATGTAATCAATTGGTATGAAGTTTCAGAACGATAATTAAAAGACCCTTCACAACGGCCGCAGCAGTGCACGGCATCTCAAAGTGTGGGAGTCAAAGGGACCACAAACCTCCTGCCTGGTACTGTAGGTGGCATACATATGAAGTGTAAGTGAACTAGGTTTAGTTATTGTATTATAATAAATCTTCTATTCATTGCTTTTGAATTGTTTAATATTGTACTAATTGCTTTCAAATGTATAATTTTTAAGGCTTAGATTGTGTAGTAATTGTTCTCAAGGCTTGTACAATGTCAAGGACTATATTAACTGCTTGAAGGCTTACAATAAATAAGGAAGTTACGTCTCTCTGGAATGTCCTGGTTTCCTTCGGATAAAAAATAAATTGAACCCCACGACAGCCTAATATTGGTAACATTTACAAAAGCCGCTTCCTACATTTGGCTTTTTTTGTGACTGGCACCTAAATCCAGACACAACCACGGAATCTGGGAACAAAGCTAGAATTTGTAACACATTCGTGAATAGTTTTACGTCAACCAAAACCGCATTGCTTTTAACTATGCATAAATAGTGCAGAGGATATTCATCCATTTCTTGATACCTTTGTGTCTTGGTTGCTTCGCCTAATGTTGACATTCTGAAGACTGGGTTATGGCGCCTTTGAGTTCAAATCCCTTTCTACATCTTGGAGCTAAAGGGCTAAGGGAGTGAACTCTCAGAACTACCAGATATTAGCTTCTTTAGTCAACATTCATGAATTGAAATGATGCTCCACTGTTTGATGATGCTCACAGTAAAGGTCAATAGATAATTCATGTTACAGCTTACATATAATCCATTCACTATCAATATCAAAGTAGAAGAAAATGGCCATATATGTTAGTATCCATATTTTTATTTTCCACATTCAATGACTACAAATTTCAATACGACTTTTAGAAAGTAGTAATTGTTTCAAATTAAAAAATACAAAACCTTCCTGAGTGTACAATATATAATTGCGTCTTCTCTTTTCAACTCTTTTGAAAGAGCATTTTGAAAGCTTTTACTAATTCAGGACACATCTGGGCAAATTTGAAAATACAGCTCTTCAAGTCTTTCTGAGTTGCTTTGCCCATCTCTGTGGGGAGTAACCAGACTTTCCTGCCTTCTAACATGGTTCATAAATGTTTGTAAGTCTTTATATCACCCTCATGTGCTTAGTACTCTGAGACTGTGCCATGGTACACACAGGGTTTTCTTTAACTTGCCAGGAGTTTAAAGGTACTATACTTATTTACGTCAGCTAGAGATCTGGACCATTGGCTTCAATAAAGCCATGTCACTTTACATGACCTGGGTTAGTTGATTGACTTCATTTAAGTGGGGCAAATTGTCCATAGATTCGCAATTTCTAGTATAACCTTCTGAGACACACCTACAACATGGAACTTCACTCACCAATTACAACTGGACCACCTCAATTAGAAACCCATCCAGTCTTGATGTGAAGGGGTAAGCAGTATTAAATCTACCATGTCTCTTGACCTGATTTCCTGCACCTGTCTGAAAATGTGCTCAACTTCACAGAAGTTGAAGATCTGGTCCTTTGGCTACAATGGAGCTGTGAGGATTCACATAAGCTGGGGACCTGGCCAATGATTCCAATGGAGAGACCTCCATTTACACAGCAAGGGATCTGGTCTAATGGGCAGTGCCCATGCTATGGTTATCTCCTTAAGCATGTCTATGAATGTCCACCAGACCTAGCACAGTGCGGGCAAGCCCTAAACTTCCTCAGTGGGCACAAGTTGAGGACTGTAGCAGTTCAAAGGAGGCCTGGTCTAGCTGTGTGACCTCACTACAAGCCAGGGGAGAATCCACATCCTCTTTTCTCTACCTCAATAATACATTTGGCAAAGCACAAGGGGCTGTTATTGGGAAAATCTCCCCGTGAGAGACTAGGCTGGCAGTGCTCATCTATATATCAGCAATTGCCAGATTCTGCACTAGTAGGAAGAGAATTGCCATTTGCAATGCCCAGGAGCTGCCTGTGTTCAAACTGGATTATTTCACAAGTTGAAACCTATGCCATGAAGGAGTCTATACTGGAGAGATCCCAGCACAGACAGGCAGAGAAAGCAAATTGTTCCCTCTTCCATGGAATGGTCTTTTCTATGCAAATTATCAGCTTTCCATCAGCCTTGCCTGCTCAGAAAGTCTTGACTGTGGGACTCTGGTGGGGTTCCAGGGCTGGTTAGCATGAGGAGAGCCCATCATGCATCATGGGGGATGGAGCCCAGCCTGGGAGCCCGGCCCATGGTAGGAAACGTTGCGATGTGGTACCTGAGGCACCTCTGTAGTATTTGTGGGAGAAAACGTGAAGCTTCCATGTGGTCTCCACAAACCACAAAAACCCCCTGTCTCTTGATCAATTGTACTCAGTAAAGAAAACAACGGGATGAAATACACCTCTAACCTCACACTCTGTAATTCTCATAAAAAGTGCGTCATTTAATGCCACAGGAGGAAAGAGAGGGCCAAATTAATCCCAAGGGCATGAGATACTCTGTGCTTACCTGAGTCCTACGTTTGGCTTTGTTTGTGACTGGCACCAAAATCCACACACAACCACAGAATTTGGGAACAAAGCTAGAATTTGAAACACATTTGTGAATAGTTTTACGTCAACCAAAACCGCATTGCTTTTAACAGTGCATAAATAGTGTAGAGGATATTCATCCATTTCTAGACACCTTTTTGTCTTGGTTGCTGCACCTAAAGTTGACATTCTGAAGACTTGGGTATGGCACCATTGAGTTCAAGTCCCTTTCCATATCTTGAATGCACCCTCAGAACTCCCAGATGGCGTGATCTTAGCTTCCGTAGTCAACATTCATGAATTGAAATGATGCTCCACTGTTTGATGATGCTCACAGTAAAGATCGATAGATAATTCATGCCACAGCTTACATATAATCCATTCACTATTTATACCAAAGTAGAAGAAAATCTATATATGACATTAACCATATTTTTACTTTCCACGTACAGTGACCACAAATTTCAATACAACTTTTAAAATGCAGTAATTGTATCAAAAACAAAAACAAAAAACCCTTTCTGTGTGTACAATATATAATTGACTCTTCTCTTTCCAACCATTTTGAAAGACCATTTTCAAAGGTTTTACTAATTCAGGACAGATCTGGACAAATATGGAAATGCAGCTCTTCAATTCTTTCTGAGTTGCTTTGCCCATCTCTGTGGGGAGTAACCAGACTTTCCTGCCTTATTACATGGTTCATAAATATTTGTAAGTCTTTATATCACCCTCATGTATTTAGTACTCTGAGACTGTGCCATAGTACACACAGGGTTTTCTTTAACTTGCCAGGAGTTCAAAGGTACTACACTTATTTACGTCAGCTAGAGATCTGGACCATTGGCTTCAATAAAGCCATGTCACTTTATATGGCCTGGGTTAGTTGACTGACTTCATTCAAGTGTAGCAAATTGTCCATAGATTCGCAATTTCTAGTATAACCTTCTGAGACACACCTACAACATGGAACTTCACTCACCAATTACAACTGGACCACCTCAATTAGAAACCCATCCAGTCTTGATGTGAAGGGGTAAGCAGTATTAAATCTACCATGTCTCTTGACCTGATTTCCTGCACCTGTCTGAAAATGTGCTCAACTTCACAGAAGTTGAAGATCTGGCCCTTTGGTTACAATGGAGTTGTGAGGATTCACATAAGCTGGGGATCTGGCCAATGACTCCAATGGAGAGACCTCCATTTACCCAGCAGGGGATCTGGTCTAATGGGCAGTGCCCATGCTATGGTTATCTCCTTAAGCATGTCTATGAATGTCCACCAGACCTAGCACAGTGCGGGCAAGCTCTGAGCTTCCTCCGGGGGCACAAGTTGAGGACTGTAGCAGTTCAAAGGAGGCCTGGTCTAGCTGTGTGACCTCACTACAAGCCAGGGGAGAATCCACATCCTCTTTTCTCTACCTCAATAATACATTTGGCAAAGCACAAGGGGCTGTTATTGGGAAAATCTCCCCGTGAGAGACTAGGCTGGCAGTGCTCATCTATATATCAGCAATTGCCAGATTCTGCACTAGTAGGAAGAGAATTGCCATTTGCAATGCCCAGGAGCTGCCTGTGTTCAAACTGGATTATTTCACAAGTTGAAACCTATGCCATGAAGGAGTCTATACTGGAGAGATCCCAGCACAGACAGGCAGAGAAAGCAAATTGTTCCCTCTTCCATGGAATGGTCTTTTCTATGCAAATTATCAGCTTTCCATCAGCCTTGCCTGCTCAGAAAGTCTTGACTGTGGGACTCTGGTGGGGTTCCAGCGCTGGTTAGCAAGAGGAGAGCCCATCATGCATCATAGGGGATGGAGCCCAGCCTGGGAGCCCGGCCCATGGTAGGAAACGTTGCGATGTGGTACCTGAGGCACCTCTGTAGTATTTGTGGGAGAAAACGTGAAGCTTTCATGCGGTCTCCACAAACCACAAAAACCCTCCGTCTCTTGATCAAGTGTACTCAGTAAAGAAAACAACGGGATGAAATACACCCCTAACCTCACACACTGTAATTCTCATAGAAAGTGTCTCATTTAATACCACATGCAGAAAGTGAGTTACCCCTAAGGTGTCTTTTGTTCAGAGCGCACATTCATTAAGTGAAGTTTGTTTCTGGGCTCAGTTATTCCCAGGTGTTTCAGGAAGCATGACGGAGAGAGTATAGATCTCAGTATAAAACTTCTGGAATGCTCTACACCGGCAGTTTCTGTTGATGGGGAAATGCCAGCCTATCTCTCTTTTCTCAGCAGGTAGATGCTGTTGTCCTGCCTCACTGTCATACACATACAGACACCGGGGTGATCAGCAGATATGGAAATTCAAGATCTCCAGTCCTAAAAGCCTCAGCCTCAGCTCCGACCCATTGAACTAAAGGAAAAATGGCTCTGGTTGGAAAACATAGGCAATTTCATCGTCACTGAAGCCATTGCATTCTCTGGGATTTCTCACAGATTACAGTGACTGGAATTTGCCAGAATACTTAATTAACAAAGTGAGCAATCCTTGCCCCCAAACCAACATGCTGACCCACAGAGCTCCCCTTGCCCAAAGAGGGGAGAGAGATTGACATTTGTTGACTCTCACCCCTTCTTGAGCTAGGCAAGCATCTTGTCAGACTGAGATGATTTTTACTGTGATTCCAATGTGAATCACGGTGAAAATCAAGTCACCATTTTTGCTCAGATTAGTGGATGGGAGTGTTCCTTGTATGGATGATTAACCTGTGTGTCTTTGTATGTGTACAGTGGGGGCGTTGTATGGAACACCTGGTATGACCAGATGTGAGCATCTGGCTCTGTGGCCTAAACATTTCTTCATGCTATTAGTGGTGCCCATTAAGAAACTGATCTCTGTTTTCTTCACTTTCTTCCTTACAGGGGAAAGATGGGTTTCCCGAGCCATCCTCCAGCCCACATCCCCATAGCTGCCTGATCTCTACTCACAGGAGATGGAAGAGGGAAATCACTCGGAGGCAACTGAGTTCTTTCTCTCAGGACTGACAGATCGTCCAGAGCTGCAGGTCCCTCTGTTTGTGTTGTTTCTGCTTATTTATATTATCACCCTGGTAGGGAACGGGGGGATGGTCTTATTAATCATGAGTGACCCCCGACTTCACACCCCCATGTACTTTTTCCTTGGTAATTTGTCTTTCTGTGATTTCTGCTATTCCTTTGTTATTGCCCCAAAGATGCTGCTGAATTTCTTAGCCGAGAAGAAAATAATTTCTCGCACTTCCTGTGCTGTGCAAATGTATTTCGATAACACTTTTCAAGATATTGAGTGTCTCCTGTTGGCTGTGATGGGGTATGACCGTTATGTGGCCATCTGTAACCCACTACTCTATACGGTCACCATGTCCAGGCAACGTTGTAACCAGCTGGTGGCTGGGGTGTGTGTTTTAGGATTGGTGGACGCAACAATTAACACATATTTTATATTCCGCCTGTCATTCTGCCACTCCAACATCATCAATCATTTCTACTGTGACATGCCCCCGCTGCTGGCGCTCTCCTGCTCTGACACCCGCATCAATGAGATTGTGTTGTTTGCATCCATGTGTTACATTGTAGTGAGCAGCGTTGTGATTGTCCTCCTCTCCTACGTCTGTATCATCTCCACTATCCTAAAGATCAGTTCTGCCGAGGGCCGGCGCAAAGCCTTCTCCACCTGCACTTGTCATCTGACTGCAGTGGTCATTTTTCATGGCACTCTCCTTTTCATGTATTTACGACCCACCTCCAGCTATTCCATGGGCACTGACAAAATAGCCTCAGTGTTCTACACACTGGTGATCCCCATGTTGAACCCCCTCATCTACAGCCTGAGGAACAGGGAGGTGAAGGATGCCCTGAGGAAAGCCATGAATGAACTCCTAAGGAACTCTTGAAGCTTTTTAACAATGTTTTCTTGGCACTGGGGTTGGTTTTATGATGTACTGTGAAATGTTTGATTTCTATGGATGAACCAAAGGGGGGTTTACACACCTTTCTCATAACCTACAGCCCTTTATATGCTATGTGGGGTGGTTGTAGAGATTGTCACTTGGTTAGTGTCCATGCGCCAGGAGGAGAAAGGTGATTTCCATTAACTTAACTTTATTTTAAGTTAATGGTACAGCAAAACAAGTCAGAGCAAGGGTGACATTCCAAAGAGAGAGCACAGTATGGGTGCCTACTCTGAGACAGCCTACCCTGAACTGAATACAGAAAATTCATGGAATGAGTGAGGTTTTTTCCACAACACCAGACACCAGATAATTATACCACATCAGCATGTTCGCTCCAAGTTCTTGCTCTTTCCTATACTCATAGGCTCTGTCTAGACTACATGCCTCTGTCGGCAGAGGCATGTAGATCAGACAGATCAGCAAAGGCAAATGAAGCCGCGATTTAAATGATCGCGGCTTCATTTACATTTACATGGCTGCCGCGCTGAGCCGACAAACAGCTGATCATCTGTTTGTCGGCTCAGCGCAGCAGCCATGTAAATGTAAATGAAGCCGCGATCATTTAAATCACGGCTTCATTTACCTTTGCTGAACAAACAAATCTACATGCCTCTGCCGACAGAGGCATGTAGTTTAGACATACCCATAGAATCATAAAACTGGGATATATGTCAAGAACTCATCTAGTCCAGGTACCTGTACCCCTGGCAGGACCAAGTACTAACGAGACCCGCTCTGACAAATGTTTGTGGAAATTGCTCTTAAAAATCTTCAAAGATGGAGATTCCATAATCTCCAGGGGCAAATCTTCCTTGCTGCAGCTGAAGTCCATTGCTTCTTGTTCTATCATCAGAGATTCTGGAGAATATCGTTTCTCCCTCTTCCTTTGTAACAACCTTTCACGTATTTGAAATCTGTCCTCATGTCACCTCTGAGCTGCCGCTTTTCCAGACTAAATTAACCCAGTTCTTTCAATTTGCCCTCACAGGTCGTGATTTGGAGACTTTTAATCATGTTTGTTACCCTTTGCTGGACTTGTTCAATATTTCCATATTTTTTCTGAAAGGTGGTGTTGTACACCATACACCAGTTCAGCACAGAGTTGGGTGGATACATAACTTCTCATGTCTTGCTTACAGCAACCTGCTAATAAATCCAAGAATGAGGGTTCCCTTTTTTGTAGCAGTGTTATGTTGTTGACTCATATTTAGCTTGCAACTCCTCCCAGTTTGGTATAATCTGCAACCTTTGTAATCTGCAATCTCTGTTCCATTATCTAAATCACTAATGAAGATATTAAACAGAAATAGACGCAGAACTGATCCCTCACTGTGAGACATTGCTGGACAGTACCCTGGTGACTGGGCTTTTTCTGTCCTGGATCTTTCTCATGGATGGTCAGTGACAGTGCTGCAGATCTATCTAAGCTATGCTACTTCAAGTAGATGCAATTTAGCTTGACTTGCAGCAGTATCCACCGGGAGAGTATCCTAACAGAAGTGATGTAACTTCGATTACTTGACAGAGTCAGGGTAAACCAGCCCTGAGAAGAATCCTTCATGGAACATTGCCTCCCTTAGGCTGTGTCTAGACTGGCCAGTTTTTCTGGAAAATCATCCGCTTTTCCGGAAAAACTTGTTAGCTGTCTACACTGGCCGCTTGAATTTCCGCAAAAGCACTGACTTCCTACTGTAAGAAATCAGTGCTTTATGCGGAAATATTATGCTGTTCCCGTTTGGGCAAAAGTCCCTTTTGCGCAAAACTTTTGTGCAAAGGGGCCAGTGTAGACAGCCCGGATTGTTTTCCACAAAAAAGCCCTGCTTGCGAAAATGGCGATCAGGGCTTTTTTTGCGGAAAAGCGTGTCTAGATTGGCACGGACGCTTTTCCGCAAAAAGTGCTTTTGAGGAAAAGCGTCCGTGCCAATCTAGATGCTTTGTTCCGAAAATGCTTTTAACGGAAAACTTTTCTGTTAAAAGCATTTCCAGAAAATCATGCCAATCTAGATGCAGCCTTACAGTCTAAGGACAGACATCAAATGGGAAAACGCTCTCCCATTGACTTGGCATGTCTTCATGATGCCTGCTAAATAGACACTGCTTCATTTCGTACAGCAGTGTTGATTTAGCAAGTAATGGAGATATGCCCTTTATCTGCCCTGTTGTAACATTGTGAATAAAACACAATGCTTTTAAAAACTATTGAAAAAACAATAGTTTTTTTCGAACTAAAGCCCCTAATTCAGATTACCGTTACTCCTCCTGCAATGAGGAGTAATGGTAGTCTGAATTAGGGGCTTTAGTTCCAACTACGTAGCCCGTGCCGCGTGAAGCCACGGGCAGGGAGTCTGAACCACCGGGCATTTAAAAATGGCGGCACCCGGAAACATGCAAATAAAGCCCAGAATATTTTAATCCTGGGCTTCATTTGCAAGTTCGAATGACTACATTAACCACCCTAATTCGAACTAGGGTGGCTAGTATAGACATGCCCTCACAGACCCCAGTACTGAATTTTAACTGTTCAGGAGAACTTGGTGGATTTCCTAGTTGAAGAATATCTGCAATTTTTTTTCACTGCCATCAGCTTACCCCATATTTTACTGGCACCTCAAACATGAGGCCTGTCTCCCACCACAGACACTTTCTCCTTAAATCCATTCACTGCTTCTTAAATTACAGCCAGCAACCAGGACTGACAGGAAATCATTTACACACAACAGCAGTCTATGCACTTTGTTACAAGAAATATTTTTAAAAGACATCACAATAAAAAAATAAAACACAAAGGCCTCACAAAAGGAAATAAAACCCCTCCAAGATAGAAGGTAAAAACACATCTACCACTGAAATATATAACACAAAAATGGAGAGAGGACCACTGTCTGTGAAACACACCAAAACGCTGTAGTCACACCCATAACCCTCTGTAATCAGCAACACAATCAGAGAACATTTCTGGGAACAGCCCCAAGATAGCACACGTTAACATGCTTTCAATTTGATGGGAATATGAAAGTATTCTAGCACCATGAAACTTTTCACTCCCATCCCTCCCACCTCCAAAGAAACACACAGCAACAACTCATAGTGGCTTTAATCTGCCTCTCAATTGGAACGGCCCCTGGGGATCCAGCTGTGGAGTGGACCATGCAGAGGTAAACTTGGATTAGAATCTTGTTCAATTCTGGTCTTATCTCTGTGGGTTCTGGATCTAGTTCCAAATCCCAGACAGCACATGAAAAAGCCCTTCCAAGGGTGCATAGGGCAGGGGTCAAATTCAGTAGAACAAGGGCTCTTCCATCAGTCACATTTCCTAAATTTGACATCTTTCTGCTCTTGTTCAGTAAGGGAAGAACACAGCAAGGGGAGAGGTTTAAACAAGTCCTCTCTGAACCCTCAATGGGAATTGTTGAGGAATGAAGAAAGTTTCAGTGAAGCCCCCACCCCTTTGTGAGACATCCCGAGAACACAGGGGAATGAAGAGAATTTTCTCTTCCCTAACATGACCAGATTGCTGCAGCAGGACACGTGGTTGCTGCTAGCACAGTTTCCAACGGACCCATTTACTTATTTATTGGGCAGTAACAGCAGGGCACCCACCACTCCCAAACACTCCTTTTGGTGGGTGTCCACAGTCTTTAAAAAGTCCCTGGCCTGCTATCAGGCCATACCCCAGGAAATCCAATGTGTTTTCCTTGCCAGTGTCCTTCTCACCTGAGCTCTCCAGTTGGGCCACTAAGTACTTCAGATTCCTTTTACCGCTGTCTGTAGGCCTCTTGCTCAGTGGCCCAACTGCTACTCCAGCCCAAGGACCATAAGAACAGCAGACACCCAGCACCATGTCCCTTTCACAAAACTAATTTTAGTGCCCGAGGCTACTGCCCAGTGTCCTCAGCCTTCACGAATACTTCATTTTTACCACAGGGCAGGAGTGCCTGCTTACTCCCCCAGTGCTGCCAGTGCTGAGCTGTCCATGGTGCTGAAGTTTCTTTTCCCCAGCCAGGAGTTCAATGGCAATACACTGATCTACACCAGCTGGGGATCTGGACCACTGACTCCTATAAGGCTATGTCAAGTTACACAAATTTTCTGCAGATCCCTGATTTCTAATTCAACCTTCTGAGAACACAGAACATTAAACACCACCCATCGATTCCAATCAACATCTCAGTTACAAACCATCCACTCTTGATTTGAAGTGGTATTAAAGCCACCATGTCTCTTGGCCTATTCCCCCTGCTCGTGGTTGAAAACATGCTCAGGTTCAAAGCCACTGAAGATCATCAGCTCCTTTGGTTTCAATGGAGTTGTGCAGATTCCCAGCTGGGAATCTGGCCAAGGACTCCAATGGAGAGACATCCATGTACACATGTAGTGGACTGGGTCTAATGGGCAGTGTCTATGTGATGGTTACACAACTGAGCTTGTCTATCCATGTCCACCAGACTTAGGACAGTGCAGAGAAGCTGTGAGCATCCTCAGTGGGCACAAGCTGAGTAATGCAGAAAGTCTAAGCCTGTGTGATGTCACTAGAAGACAGGGGAGAATCCACATTCTCTTTTCCAGAGCTCAACAAGGCTGCTGGCCATGGCCCCATGGCTGCCACTGGGAAAATCTCCCTGTGAGAAGTCAGGCAGACAGGGCTCAGCTGTATTTCAGCACCTGCCAAACCCTGGGAAGTGAAGGAATTTAATTGCTGTTTGCAATGCCCAGAAGCTGCCCGTGTTATAAGCAGTCCATCTCAAAAGATGAAATCCAGGAAGGATCCTATACAGGACAGATACCAGCACTAAAGGGCACAGGAATTGAATTTTCCCATCTTCCATGGAGTTATCTTTCCCATGGACATTATCAGCTTTCCATCAACTTATCAAACTCACCTCCTCCCCAAACCATGGCTGTGGGACACTGGTGATATTCCGTGGTAGTACCGCAAGAAGAGAGGACATATAGATTAGGGCATGGAGTGCAGTATGGGAGCCTGGTCCAAGCCAGAGAATGGGGGGATGTGTTCTCACAGGGACTCTTCTGGTATTTCTGAGCTGAACAATTAAGTATGGTTTCCACAAACAACAAAACACACTTTCCATTTTGTTCAGATTTACTTTGTACCCTTCGTGAACGGAAAGCAGTAGGAAGCCATATATCCCTAGCCTCAAACTCAATAACTCTGACACAAATTGTATCATTTAGTAACACTAGGAAGAAAGAGTGGCCCAAATTAATTCCCTAGGTATGAGTAACCCCAATGGTGGCTTTGGTTCCCTGAGCTCATTAATGAGGTGTAGTGTCTCTCTCAGCTCGGGTATTCCCAGTTGCTTCAGGAATAATGCTACGTCGTTCCCAGATCTCAGTATAAAACTTCCTGAATGTGCCAAACTGACAGTTTCTGTCAATGGGGAAACACCACCATGTCTCTCTCTTTTCAGCAGGTACGTGCTATTGTCCTGTCTTACAGCCACACACCCATAGAGACACCAGAGTGATCAGCAGGATTTAAATTGAAGGTCTCTAACACAACATACCTCAGCCCAGATCCAACCACTCAAAGTGAAGGAAAAGTCTCTTTGTTTGGAAAAATAGGCAATTACAAAGTCACAGAAGTTAGTGCTTTCTCTGGGTTTTCATTCAACGCCATTTTCAGATGCCGAAAAGCTTAATTAGCACAGCACAAAAATGTAACCCCTAACACACACACCAAGCCAAAGAGCTCCCTTTGCCAAAAGAGGGTGGGAAGATTGACACACATTAATCTCACACATAAAGCTAAGCAATAATCTTGTCCGAGTGAGATGATATTCACCCTGACACTTTCACAGCAGTCACAAGTTCTTGTTTACGTCTCAGATTAGTGAACAGAAGTGTTCCTGTGTGTGGTATGATTAACCTGTATGTCCTTGTATGTATACAGTGTGCTCATTGTATGGAACAACAGGAATGATCAGCTGTGAACAGCTGGCTCTGTGGACTAAACCCTTCTTCAAGATCATATTGGCGTCTATTTTCCTTCATTTACCTTGGTACAGAGAAGGGATAGGTTTACAGAACCCACCACATCACAGTAGCTGCCTGATCTATCCTCAGAGCAGATGGAAGAGGGAAATCACTCGGAAGTCACTGAATTCATTCTCTCAGGACTGACAGATCGTCTGGAGCTGCAGGTCCCTCTGTTTGTGTTGTTCCTACTGATTTATGTTGTCACCATGGTGTGGAACGGGGTGATGATCTTATTAATTAAGATTGACCCCCGACTCCACACCCCCATGTACTTTTTCCTTGGGAATCTGTCTTTCTGTGATCTCTGCTATTCCTCAGTGATTGCTCCTAAAATGCTGCAGAATTTCTTAACCAAGAGGAAAAGCATTTCTCATGCTGCCTGTGCTGTGCAAATGTGTTTATGTTTCTTTTTTCAAGACATTGAGTGTCTCTTGCTGGCTGTGATGGCATATGACCGTTATGTGGCCATCTGTAACCCATTGCTCTATAGGATCACCATGTCCAGGTGGCTTTGTAACCTGCTGGTGGCTGGAGTGTATGGGGTGGCATTGACAGATGCAGTGACAAACACATACTATACATTTCAGCTGTCATTCTGCAAGTCTGCGATCATCAATCATTTCTTCTGTGACATGCCTCCAATGTTGGCGCTCTCATGCTCTGATACCCGCATAAATGAGATTGTGATGTTTGCCTTTGCATGCTTCATTATAGTGAGCAGTGTTGTGACCATTCTCCTGTCCTACGTCTATATCATCTCCACCATCCTGAGGATCCAGTCTGCCGAGGGCCGGAGCAAAGCCTTCTCCACCTGCACTTGTCACTTGACTGCAGTGGCCATGTTTCATGGCACTCTCCTCTTTATGTATTTCCGACCCAGCTCCAGCTATTCAATGGACACCGACAAAATAGCGTCATTGTTCTACACGTTGGTGATCCCCATGTTGAACCCCCTCATCTACAGCCTGAGGAACACAGAGGTGAAGGGTGCCTTGAGGAAAGGCATGAATAAATTCCAAAGGATTTCTTGAAGCTTTTTAACTCAGTCCAAACTTTTCTTGATACTGGGGTTGGTTTTATTTTGTAGTTGCAAGTGTGAAGTATGTGCTTTCTATGCCTGAACCAAAGGGACTTCGCACAATCTCCTGAGGCTCTACATCTCTTTATGTGGTCTGTGGGGTGGTTGTAGATATTGTCACTTGGTTTGTGTCTCTGCATAAGGAAGAGAAAGGTCATTTCCATCACAATGAGCTTTATTGTAAGTTATGGGCACAGCAAAACAAGTAAGAGTGAGGGTAACATTCTGAAGAGAGAGCACGGTGTGGGTTCCTGCTGTGTGACAGTCTGCACTGAACTGAATACATAATAGTCTGGCAACAGAGATAAAGTTCAGTCATATCAAATACAAGATAATGATGCTTCATTACCAGGGTTCGCTATGAGTTCTTGCTCACTCCTAGATTCATAGAATTGTAGAACTGGAATAGATGTCAAGAGGTCATCTAGTGCAGGTACCTGCAATCAAGGCAGAATCAAGCACTAACTAGACTTTTCCCAACAGGAAAATATCTCCAGAGATGAAGATTCCACAACCTCTCCAATGTTTAGCTATAATAACAATGATGAAGTTTTTCCTAATGTCCAACCTAAAGCTTCTTTGCTACAATTTAACCCGTTACCTTTTGTTCTACCATCAGAGGTTAAGGAGTTTAAAGTTTTCCCTCTTCTTTGTAACACCCTTTCACCTATTTGAAATCTAATCTCATGTCCTCTCTCAGCCTTCTCTTCTCCAGACTAAATGAACCCAGTACTTTCAGTCTTTTCTCATAAGTCATGTCTTGTAGACCTTTAATTACTTTTGTTACCCTTTGTTGAACTTATTTTCAACAGCTTTCCTGAAGTATGGTGCCCAGAATTGGACAGAATGTACCAATTCAGTCATAATTCGAATGCAGTAGAGTGCAAGCATAGCTTCTTGTATCTTGCTTACAGCATTCCTACTAATACTGGATGACAGGGTTTTTTTGGTTTTGATATTTGTGTTTTGGGTTTTTTTGCATCAGTGTTGCACTCTTGAATTGTATATAGTCTGTGGGCCACTATGACCCCTAAACAAAATGCAGGACAATGTAGCACTTTAAAGACTAACAAGATGGTTTATTAGATGATGAGCTTTCGTGGGCCAGACCCACTTCCTCAGATCAAATAGTGGAAGAAAATAGTCACAACCATATATACCAAAGGAAACAATTTTAAAAAATGAACAAATATGAAAAGGACAAATCACATTGCAGAACAGAAGGGGGATGCGGGGGGGTGGGAAGGGGGAGGAAGGAAGGTAAGTGTCTGTGAATTGCTGATATTAAAGGTAGGGAGAGTGGGATGTTTGTGAGTTAATGGTATTACAGGTGATAATTGGGGAAACTGTCTTGATAATGGGTGAGAAAGTTCAAAGACTTGTTAAGTCCCTGGTGGTAAGTGTCGAATTTTAACATGAATGACAGTTCAGAGGATTCCCTTTCAAGTGCAGATGTAAAAGGTCTTTGTAGCAGAATGCAGGTGGCTAAGTCATTTAGAGAGTGTCCTTTCTGGTTAAAGTGGCAAGAAACTGTTTTCTCTTTGTGATCTTGTCTAATATCTGTTTTGTGGGCATTAATCCTTTGGCGAAGTGTCTGAGATGTTTGTCCAATGTACATAGCAGACGGACACTTTCGGCACATGATAGCATAGATTATATTTCTGGATGCGCAGGAATATGTGTTCTTGATCTTATAACTCACTTGGTTAGGTCCAATAATGGTATCAGCAGAATGAATATGTGGACAAAGCTGGCAACGGGGTTTGTTGCAAGGGAAGGTACCAGGGTTGGTATTAGTGTGGTATGTCCTGTGGTGGTTGGTAAGAATCATCTTGAGGTTAGGTGGTTGTCTATAGGAGACTATGGGTCTGTCTCCCAGAGCCTCTTTGAGTATGGTATCCTGTTCCAATATAGGCTGTAGTTTATTGATAATGTGTTGGACAGGTTTAAGTTGGGGGTTGTAGGTGATGACAAGTGGTGTTCTATTGTTGGTTTTCTTGGGTCCTCCTGTTCTGAAATGTGATTTGTCCTTTTCATATGTGTTCATTTTTTTAATTGTATCCTTTGGTATATATGGTTGTGACTATTTTCTTCCACTATTTGATCTGAGGAAGTGGGTCTGGCCCACGAAAGCTCATCATCTAATAAACCATCTTGTTAGTCTTTAAAGTGCTACATTTTCCTGCATTTTGCTTCAGCTACCCCAGACTAACACGGCTACATTTCTATTGCTATTTAAACAGTAATTTCCCATTTTGTGTGTGTGGAACTGATTGTTCCTTCCTACGGGAGCACTTTGCATTTGTCCTTATTAAACTTCCTCCTATTTACCTATAGTCATTTCGACAGTTTGCCAAGATCATTTTGAGTTCTCATCTTACCCTTCAATACACCCAGCTGGGTGTCATCTACAACCTTTATTGGAGCTCTCTCTACGCTATTCTGTGTAGCGCTGATGACGATATTAAACAGAACTGGTCTCAAACATTTCTGAGCAGAACCCTTTATACTGTCCTGGAAGTTTCTCAGTAACAGCCAATGCCAATGCTGCAATTCTATCTAATTTATAGCACTTCACACCGACATTACTCAGTTTGATTTACAACAGACTCCATTCCATGCTGTGTTAACGGGAGGGTGGTGTAACAGAAGTAGTGCAAATTCAATCATCTGACAGAATCAGCATAGACCAGTCTTGATAAGAATCTGTGATGGAACACAGACTCTGAAGGAATGGAAGTACAGACATTGATGGGCAAGTACTCTCCCACTGACTAAGCACATCTTCAACATGCTGGCTAAACAAATACTGCTTCGTTTATCACAGCAGTCTTGATGTAGCCTGTGGTGTAGATATGGCCTCAGTCTCCCCTCTTGGAGATATTGTGATGTGAATAAAACATGGGAAGAATGAAAGGACCAAAAAAAAGGCAAATGATTCTATTGACTGGTTACTAGTGGAACCCATCTAGTCAGTGAGATGCTCAGCTTCATGTTTTTATTCTAATGGCTATTTAATTAGTTAGAACAACTTTGGAAGGAGAGATAGAGAGCGTCTCACAGCTGAATTGCAGATTGCTCCCTGGCTGGGATACTCTCTGGAAATACAGGAAACCCAAGAGCACAACTTTATATTCACTTCCTGCTTCTGTCTAGTGCCAAGTAAAGGGAGGACGCAACCATCACCAACTTCTCCACTTGGCTGCTTTGTGACCTAAATCTTCTCTCCTTCCCCCATACACTCTCTGGTTCTGGGACAAAGCTAATCTAGAATTTGTAACTCGTCTATGAAAAGTTTCAGGTCAACCAAAATTGCATTGCTTTTAATAGGACATTATTACCTCATAAGAAATTCACCCATTTCTAGAGTCCTTTGCATCCTGGTTGTTGCAACTCATGTTGACAATCTGAAAAATGGATTACGGAGACTTGGATTTCAAGTCCATTTCTATATCTTGGAACTAACGGGCTAAGGGAGTGGACCCAAAGGACTCCCAGAATGGGTGATCTTACCTTCTGTAGGCAATATTAATGAATTGATAATGTGCTCCCACGTTTGATGATGCTCACAGTAAAAGTAGATACATACTTCACTCTGGAGCCTCCATATAATTCCATTCATCATGAACACAATATTTTTTATGATGACCATATGTTTTTGCAACTATAATTTTATTTTCCACATTCTTTGATGAAAAATTAACATTTTTCTTTCAGAATACAAGAATTGTGTGAAAAACAGAAAAACTTCTGGTCTGTACACTGTGTACCTTTTCTCATTTCAGCTGTTCGGAAGCAGGGTTTCAAAAGCATTTACTAGTTCATGGTACATCTGGACAAATATGAAAATGTGAATCTTAAGTTCTTACTGCCTCCCTTTGGACATGTGTGTATTTGAGTAACCGGACTTGTCTGCCATGTTAAAGTGTTCATAAATATTTGTAGCTCTTTATATGACCCTCATCAATGTGGTATCTCAGAGCACCTCAAAATCTTTATCGTATTTATTGTCACTAATTCCATGTTAGGCCAGAGCAGAATCATTTCCATTTTTCAGATGAAGAGCTGAGTCAGAGAGAAAGTAAATATGCAAACTTTAAGACACGCAAGAGAAACAGTGGTGTAAAATCTATAGGTAAAAGAGTGGTGAATCCACCCCTCATTTTATACAGTCATGCAATATTCTTCAGATTCACCGTGTAGGTCTCACACATGAGCTAATGACATCACTCAGAGACTCCAGTCCTGAATATTTAGCTCTTCAAGGGAAATGGGTGGATTCCCTATTTGAAGATACACTGAAAATTATGTACACGGCCATCAGCTTACCCCATATTTTACTGGCACCTCAAACATGAGGCCGGTCTCATGTTTTTGATCTTAAATCCATCTGCTGCTTCTTAAATTAAAACCAGAAATCACCAGCAACCAGGATGGACAGGAAAACATTTACATATGATGACAGCCTGTGCATGTTATAAGGAATACTTTAAAAAGACATAAAAAGAAACATTACATCACAAAGGCTACTTCTAGACTACATGGCTCTGTCGACAGAGCCATGTAAAATAGTTTATTCGGCATAGTCAAAGAAGCGGGGATTTAAATAATCCCCACTTCATTAAAATAAAAATGGCTGCCATGCTATGCCGATGATCAGCTGATCCAGCACAGTGCAGCAGTCTAGACGTGGCGCGGTCGACAAGGGAAGCCTTTGTTGACCACTCCAGAAAACCTTGTTTCACGAGGCATACCGGAGTGGTCGACAAAGACTTCCCTTATCAACTGCGCTGTGTCTAGACTGCCACATGGTGCCAGATCAGCTGATCATCAGCACAGCGTGGTGGCCATTTTTATGGTAATGAAGCAGGGATTTAAATAATGACTATGCTGAATAAACTATTTTATGTGGCTCCGTTGGCAGAGTAGTCTAGACGTAGCCAAAGAGTTCACAAAAGGAAATGAAGCTTCTCCATAGGCTTCCAAAATACAAGACAAAAACACATCAGCCATTGAAATATATTCCCCACTAATGCAGGGGTGGCCAACCAGTTAGATATAGATATAGATATATAATACGTAGCTCTTTGCACTCTCTCCACAGCTATTTTGGCTCTTCAAATTGATCTATATATGAATAGATATATATAGTACACAAAATGTAGTGATAAAAATAGCATTACAGGACATTTTGGACAAAAACCAATAAAAAAGTCTCTAGTCACTTAAAAAATTCATGGCCAATCCACAGATCTTCAAAGAACTTGACAAGGAACAAATATCACATTTTAGAAAAACCCTTTAAAATACAGTAATATTTTCACACTAAAAATAAGCATCTCCACTATGTATTTTAAATGTAACACTACTGCCCTATTATGTCTGGTGTGATTTTTTAAATGAAACTGAACTGAGAAGTAATTTAGCACAATTTGAAGTGCCTGTTTCACTCCAGCTTGTTGATCTCGGGTATGCTTTCCTCATTTTTTGTACTTATGAAGATTATGTGTTCGCTTCCCAAGTCCAGCCAACACTGAGCTGTCCATCAGTGGTGCTGAGCTGATTGGAACTAACTAGGGATCTGGACCATCAGCTTCAATAAAGCTCTGTCACCTTCAACCACGTCGGTTAGTGGATTGACTCATTAAGTGAGGCAGATTTTCCATAGTTTTGTGATTTCTAGTATTTACTTCTGGGACCACACGACATGGAAGCTCACGCACTAATTACAGCTGGATCCTGTCATTTAGAAACCCATCCAGTCTAGATGTGAGGGGTGAGTGGTATTAAATCCACCATTTCTCTTTATCTGAATCCCTGCTTGTGGTTGACAACGTGCTCAGGTTCACAGCCATTGAAGATCCCACCATTTGGCTTCAATGGAGCTGTTCTGATTCACACTGGCTGGGGATCTGGCCAGTGACACCAATGGGGACACATCCATGTACACAGTGAAGGGATCCAGTCTAATGGGCAGTGCGCTTCACCTTTATCCCAGGACAAATGTAGTTTGAGGCCCAGCAGCCAGCCAGGAACACCTGCTCACTCCTCCCAGCACTGAGCTGTCCATGGTGCTAAAGTTTGTTTTAGGAAGCCAGGAGTTCAAAGGCACGACGCTGATTTACACCATGGGAGGTTCTAGACTGGGGTGGGAAATGTTCATTGGGTCAGGAGCCACTGGCCCACTGAAAAATCAGTCAGGGGTCACGCACAAGTTAGAAGGAGAAAAAACCCTCAATCGAGAGCCACAGTGAGAAGGAAAAGACACTCCCCACATTCTCCTTGCTCATCAGAACCTAGAGGGGCCCAGCCTAGTAGATTTTGTGCGCTCCAGGACCCAAAGGACGAGCTGGGGGGTTAGCACCAGTTCAGGCTCCCCAATGTGAGGGGGCCTGAGTCTCTGGGGCCGGATAGAGAGAATACAAGGGCTGAATCCAGCCCTCGGCCTGGGGTTCCCCGTGCCTGTTCCAGACCACTGACATCTATGACTCTATGTCAAATTACACAGATTTTTGTGTCCATGGCGTATCCATGTTAGTCTGGATCTGCAAAAGCGACAAGGAGTCCTGCGGCACCTTATAGACTAACAGATGTATTGGAGCATAAGCTTCGTGGGCAAAAGCCCACTTTGTCAGATGCATGTAGTGGAAATTTCCAGAGGCAGGTATAAATATGCAGGCTAGAGATAACGAGGTTAATTCAGTCAGGGAGGGTGAGGCCCACTTCTAGCAGCTGATCTGGAGGTGTGAACACCAAGAGAGGAGAAACAGATTTTTGTAGATCCTTAGTACGACCTTCTGAGATCACACAACATTGAATCTCACCCACTAAGTACAGGTAGAATACCTCAAATAGAAACCGATCCAGCACTGATTTAAAGGGGTAAGTGAATTAAATCCACCATGTCTGTTGGCCTGTTTCCCTGCTCATCGTTGAAAACGTGCTCAGGTTCACAGCCATTGAAGTTCGAGCCCTTTGGCTACAATAAAGCTGAGCGGATTCACACCTGCTAGGGATCTGGCCAGTGACTCCAATGTAGAGACCTCCATGTACACAGGCAGGTGACCTGTCCTAATGGGCAGTGCCCATTTGATGGTTACACCACTGAGTGGGTCTATCCACATCCAGAACCAGTGCAGTGTGGGAAAGCTCTGAACATCCTCACTGGGCACAAGCTGAGGACGGTAGCAGGTCTAAGAACGCCTTGACTACCTGTGTGACATCACTACAAAACACGGGAGAATCCACATTCTCTTTTTTTCCTACCTCAACAAGGCTGCTGGGCAGGGCCAAGAGGCTGCCGCTGGGAAAATCTAAATGTGTGAGGTCAGGCAGGCAGGGCTTATCTATATTACAGCAACTGCCAAACCCTGGGAAGTGAAGGAAGAGAATTGCTATGTGCAATCCCTAGTAGCAGCCAGTGTTATAAGTAGCCCATCTCACAAGATGAGATCCAGGAAGGATCCTATACAGGACAGATCCCAGCACTGAACAGCACAGGAATTCAAATTTTCCCCTCTTCCATGGAGTTAGTTTTCCATGGAACCTAGCAGTGTTCCATCAACTTATCAAACTTGCCTCTTCCCCAAGACACAGCTGTGGGACTCTGGTGATGTTCCAAAGTAGTTCAGCAAGAGGGGAGGCCATTATGCAGCATAGAGCATGGAGCGCAGTCTGGGAGTCTGGCCCAAGCCAGAGAATGGGGGGAGGTGGTATCACAGGCACCCCTCTGGTATTTCTGAGCTAAATAACTAAGTTTGGTCTCTACAAACAACAAAACACACTTTTCATGTTTGTTCAGATTTACTTAGCACCCTTCTGGAACAGAAAAGAGTGGGATGCCATAGATCCCTAGCATCATATTCCATAACTCTGACACAAATTGCATCATTTAATAACACAGGCAGAAAGAGTGAGCCAAATTAATCCCCAGAGTATGAGTAACCCCAATGGTGGCTGTGGTTCACTGAGCTCTTTAATGAGGAGTTGTGTCGCTCTGAGCTCAGCTATTCCCAGGTACTTCAGAGAGCATGTCCCATAGATCACAGATCTATATATAAAACTTCATGAATGCTCCAAACTAGCAGTTACTATTGATGGGGAAACTCCACCGTGTCTGTCGCTCCTTAGCAGGTACGTGCTGTTGTCCTGCATCACAGCCAGGCTCACAGACACCAGGGTGATCAGCACAATTTGAATTGAAGATCCCCGGCACTAAATACCTGAGCCCAGATCCTACTCCACAAACTAAAGGAAAAATCTCTGTGTTTATAATTGCCTATTTTTCCAAAGTCACTGAAGCTAGTGCTTTCTCTGGATTTACATTCAATGCCATTTTCAAGTGCCAAAAAGTTTAATTAGCACAGCACACAAACGTCATCCCAAATTGAGATGCCAAGCCAAAGAGCTCCTCGTACCCAAAAAGGGTAGAAAGACTGACACACATTAATCTCACCCTTTCTTAAGCTAAGCAATAATCTCATTTGACAGATGATTTTCACCCTGATTCTTTCAAAACAGTCACAAGTTCTTGTTCACTTCTCAGATTAATGAACATTATTATTATTCATATGTGTGGTATGCTTAACCTGTATATCTTTCCATGTGTACAGTGTGTGCATTGTATGGAACAGGAATGACCAGCTGTGAACATCTGGCTCTGTGGACTAAGCCCTTCTTTCAGGTCATATTGGAATCCTTTTTTCTTCATTTAACTTGATACAGAGAAGGGATAGGTTTACAGAGTTCACCACATCACAATAGCTGCCTAATCTTTGCTCAGATCAGATGGAGAATGGAAATAACTCGGTGGTCACTGAGTTCATTCTCTCAGGATTGACAGATCGTCCGGAGCTGCAGGTCCCCCTGTTTGTGTTATTCCTACTGATTTATGTTGTCACCCTGGTATGGAACGGGGGGATGATTTTGTTAATCAAGACTGATCCCCGACTACACACCCCCATGTACTTTTTCCTTGGGAATCTGTCTTTCTGTGATCTCTGCTGTTCTTCAGTGATTGCTCCTAAAATGCTGCAGAATTTCTTAGCCGAGAGGAAAAGCATTTCTTACTCTGCCTGTGCAGTGCAAATGTATTTATGTTTCTATTTTCAAGATATTGAGTGTCTCTTGCTGGCTGTGATGGCGTATGACCGTTATGTGGCCATCTGTAACCCATTGCTCTATAGGATCACCATGTCCAGGTGGCTTTGTAATCTGCTGGTGGCTGGGGTGTATGGGGTGGCATTGGTAGATGCAACAACAAGCACATACTATACATTTCAGCTGTCATTTTGCAACTCCACGATCATCAATCATTTTTTCTGTGACATGCCCCCAATGTTGGCTCTTTCCTGCTCTGAAACTCGCAACAATGAGATTGTGATGGTTGCGTTTGCATGCTACATTGTACTGACCAGTGTTGTGACCATCCTCCTCTCCTATGTCTGTATCATCTCCACGATCCTGAAGATCCGCTCTGCCGAGGGTCGGCACAAAGCCTTCTCCACCTGCACTTCTCATTTGACTGCAGTGGGCATATTTCATGGCACTCTTCTCTTTATGTATTTCCGACCCTCTTCCAGCTATTCCATGGACACTGACAAAATAGCTTCTGTGTTCTACACACTGGTGATCCCCATGATGAACCCCCTCATCTACAGCCTGAGGAACACGGAGGTGAAGGGCGCACTGAGGAAAGCAATGAATAAACTCCTAAGGATTTCTTGAAACATCTTAATTCAGTCCTCCCTTTCCAAGGAGGCTGGTTTTATGATGTAGTTGCAATTGTGAAGTGTGTGATTTCTATGGTTGAATCAATGGGAGTTTTGCACACACTGCTGCAACTCTTTAGCTCTTTCTGTGCTGTAGTTTTAGAGATTGTTTGTGTCCATGCACAAGGAGGGGAAAGGTGATTTCCATCACAATGTCCCTTATTGTAATTTAAGGGCAGAGCAAAACAAGTAAGAGCCAGTGTAACATTTCCAAGAGACAGCATGGTGTGGGTGCCTACTCTGCATAGTCTTCTCTTTTCCAAACTAAATCAACCCACTTCTTTCAGTCTTCCCTAATGCTGCCAATCTGAAAAATGGGTTCTTGAGCCATTGAGTTCAAGGCCCTTTCTATATCTTCGAACTAAAGTGATAATGGATTGAAACCTCAAAACTCCGAGACTGGGTCATCTTAGCTTCTATAGGTAACTTTAATGAATTGATAAATTGCTCCCATATTTGTTGATGCTCACAGTACTGGTAGATAGATACTTCACTCCCAAGGTTCCATGTAATTCCATGCATTGTAAATACAAAATTTTTTAAATTACCATATGCAACTATCATTTTATATTCCCCATTCATTGAGGAAAAATTGACATATTTTTTTTACAATGCAGGAATTGTTTGAAACAACAACAAATACTTCTGGTATATACAACCTGTAATTGTTTCTTCTCATTCCAACTATTTGGAAGCAGCATTTTTCAAAGCATTTACTAATTCAGGACCCATATGGACAAATATGAAAAAAAATTGATCTTAAATTCTTTCGGCCTATAAGTGGAGAAGGCTGGTACTCCAAAAGTCGTCTTCCTACTTTCCTCCCTGCTCATGGCATCAACACCATCTGAAGCAGGAAGAAGCCAAAGAGCCAAACTAAATCAAAATTCAGAACAAGTGGTCAACAAAGAGCCATATATGCCTATTTGCATGACTGAAAACATACAACTTCATATTACTGATAACTGACATAATGATTAATGACAGTGTAACTGAAACATTGTTCTCACCGACTTTATTTAATGGGACTTCTCCTGCTGTATCTTTTTGCACATTTCTTTGAAGTTTACATCATAACTGGTCAAATCCAACTTCATGTGTGCATTCAGGCTGTCTTCTGTCAATCTTATGGCAGGGAGCTGGTGATGTGCAGGTGCAGAAGTCTAGATTGGAGTGTATAGGGGGCTCAGGGCAGAGGGTTGGGTGTATGATGGACTCATGGCACAAGGTTGTTTAGGGAGATTTAGGCAAATCCAGTAATGTGCCTGAAACACTATTGCTTACTGCTTAAACTTTAGCAACCTAGCTCACAGGCCCAAAATTAGAACTAGACAGCAACTTCAGCATGACCATAATCAGGGAGGAGGAAGAAAGGGAGTCTGAGTGCCACAAGGAGGGCAGCTTGACCCCGTGTCCTTCCTGAGGCCCAAATCTCTAGTGAAATCACTGAGATATGCATTTAGAAAAACAGGAAGTTTTCTAAATTCCCTAAGACATATACATATCAGGGCCCCCAGGCATAGAGACTCTTAAAAAGTTAGGCAAGGGTTTTCTTCTGATCGTTTTCTAAATTCCCTAAGACATATACCTATCAGGGTCCCCAGGCATAGAGCCTCTTAAAAAGTTAGGCAAGGGTTTTCTTCTGATCATCACTTTCACCAGATGCTTTTTTTCTTTTTCAAAGTGCTTACCTAACAAGTTTTTGAGTGACATGTTATTGTAATACTAACAGATAAATAGAGAAGGAAAGTTTGAGTTGGGGAGCAATTTTGGGTAACACTTAGAGAGATGCCTCAAGCACTCCTTGAGGACGCTTCACATCTGGATGCATCTCCGTCCCCACCGGCAGACAGAAGCTTGGCCATTGGAAACCTTGAGCCACACTCAACTTCAGTAATTATCAAGGGTGTGGTGTTTTACTGACCTGTTGCAGGTGTGTGTAAGTGCTTTAGACTAAGTAAAGCTTAGCTTTAAGTGAAAGCACTCCTGTGTTGTCCTATTTGTACCATCCATTTATCGGTCGGACGACCGTGTCTCCCCTGAATTATTTCCTGACACCACCTCGCAGAGAGTAAAAGTTACCAAGAGGTTGGGGTTGAAAGAACCCTGGGTAACAGTTGGGGTGTATGGAGGAGCAGGAGTGTTATGGAAGGGATCTGGGGAAGAGGGGGGTGAGAGGCTCAGGGCAGGGGGTTCAGGTGTATGATGGATTCAGGGTTGGTGTGTACAGGGGTACAGGAGAGTTATGATGCTACAGCCAGATGGGGGTGAGCCCCAATTGGGGGCTTGTTGACCAGGCTTTATTTAAATAAAATGTCCAACACAGACGGTTTCAATATTGTCTTGTCTTATTGCAGAAGTGGGGAACCTTTTTATGTGGGGGGGGGGCACTGACCCCAGAAGGGGGGGGGGGGGGGCACTGACCCCAGAAAAGTCAGATGGGGACCACACAAGCAAGAAGCAAAAACAACCCCTTAAAAAAATACCCAGTCCTCACTGATGTGCCCACCAACTGAAACACCTCACTGCCCTGGTGATCCAGACCCATAGTGGAGGTGGAGAAAGGAGGACTGAGGTTCAAGGCCTCGAGCCAGATTTACTCTTCTGAGGTACTAGTGGATTTTGTGGGGCCCATTAGGCTCTCGGGTCGGGCCAATAATGAGGGGATAAAAGTGTGGGACAGGGCTGCCAGTGAATGGGATGGGGTTGGAGTGCAGGATCTGGGCGAGAGAAGGTGGGGTGCAGGAGGGGTGGAGGTGCAAAGTCTGGCCAGGGGGCAAGCTGCCTGGCAAGAAGGCAGGAGGCTGGCTGCCTGGTCAGGGGGTGACTAGCCAGTGATGTAATTCTGGCCTGGGGGCAGAGGGAAGGGGGGGATTCTAGCTAAGGGGAAGGTAGCATTCTGGTCAGAGGGCAGAGGGCAGAGGGCAGGGGATGTCTGCCCAGAGGGCTAGGGTAGGGAGGATTTTGGCCAGGGAGCGTGGGACAGAAGGGGTTTTGGCCAGGGGCAGGGTGTGTCTGGTAAGGAGACTGGTCCAGGAGGGATTATGGCCAGGGGTGTCAACAGAAGGGGTTTTGGCCAGAAGGCAGGGTGTGTCTGGTAAGGAGGCTGGTCCAGGAGGGATTATGGCCAGGGGTGTCTGACAAAGGAACTGGGGGCATAGAGGATTATGGCCTGGGGAGATTTTGGAGAGGATCCTGGGGAGAGAAGGTGTCTGTGCAGGAGGCTGGGGGCAGAATACTCCACAGCGCAAATTCCATGGATTCCCACAGACCCGTTTGCCGACGTCCATTTGTAACAGGAGTTAATAACAGCATACAGTGTCCGCTTATAACCTCAGATGCTGTATTGCCGCACATGGTTTATCAGGGTGATACCAATAAACCAATTATAGTTTTCAGATGATACCCTGCCAGGTGTATTTTTAAAAGACGTAAAAAGAAAAAAACACAAAAACTTCACACAAAGAAACCAAGCCCTCCACAGGCTACAGCCTCTGAAACACAAGACAAAAACACATCAGCCATTGACATATACTACACATAAAATGTGAGAGGACCACTTGTTGTATAGCACACCAGAAATGCCTAGCCACACCCATAACCTTGTCTAGGCAGCACAATCATAACATTGTGGGAGCAGCCTTTGGATCGCACAGTAACACACTTTAAATTCTATCACCATGGAACTCTTCACTCCCATCTCTCCCACCTCCAAAGAAACCCACGGCAATGGCTCATGGCGTGTTTCATCTCCCTCCCAATTGGATCATCCCCTGGGGGGCCAGCTGTGGAGTGGGCCAGGCAGGAGTTAACCTGGATTAGAATCTTGTTCAATTCTGGTCTGATCTCTGTGAGGTCTGGATCTAGCTCCAAATCCCAGACAGTTCATGAAAAAGCCCTTTCAAGGGTGCCAAGGATAGGGGCCAAATTCAGCAGAGCCAGGGCTCTTGCAACAGTGACACTTGCTAAATTTGACATCCCTCTGCTCTTGTTCTGTAAGGGTACGTCTACACTAGCCTCCTAGTTCTATCTAGGGAGGCTAATTAGGGTGACTGAAATTGCAAATGAAGCACGAGATTTAAATATCCTGCGCTTCATTAGCATGTTCCCGGCCAGTTGCCATTTTAGAAATTGACTAGCCCAAAGTAACTTCCCGCATCTACATGCGGCAATGAAACGGGATTCCGAATTAAAGCCCTAAATCGAATCAAACCTCCTGGAATGAGGTTTACCAGCAAATTCGATTTAGGGCTTTAATTCGGAATCCCATTTCACTGCTGCATGTAGACGCGGGCAGTTACTTCGGGCTAGTCAATTTCTAAAATGGTGACCGGCCGGGAACATGCTAATGAAGCGTGGGATATTTAAATTCTGCGCTTCATTTGCAATTTCGGTCGCCCTCATTAGCCTCCCTAGATTGAACTAGGGAGCTAGTGTAGACGTACCCTAAGGGAAGAACACAGCCCTTCAGGAAGGGGAGAGGTTTAAACAAGTAAATATTCCCCTCTCCGAACCCTCACTGGGATTTGTTGAGGAATTAAGAAGGTTTCAGTGAAGCCCCCGCCCCTCGGTGTGACATCCCTAGAGTGCAGGAACATGAAGACCATTTTCTCTTCCATAGCTCAACCAGATTGTTACGACTGGACAAGTGGTTGCTGCTAGCACACTCTCCAATGGACAGATTTACTTATGTATTGGGCTGTAACAACATAGCACCCACCTCTCCCAAACCCCCCTTCTGGTTAGGTATCCCAGAGTTCCTGTCCTGCTATGGGGCCATACCCCAGAGAACCCTATCAGGAGAGAATATTTTTGTCTTGCCAGCATACTCCTGACTCTAGCTCTCCAGATGGGCTGTTGAGTACTTCAGATCCCTTTAACCGCTGTCTCATTGTAGGCCTCTTCTTCAGTGGCCCAAATACCATTTCAAATCCCAGCCCATGGACCTTAAGAACAGCAGCCACACAGCACCATGTCCCTCTCACCAAACTGCTTCAGTTTCCCCAGGCTACTGCACGGTGTCCCCAGACTTCACTGATGCTTCCCCTTTACCTCAGGGCAAAGGTAGGTTCAAGCCCAGCAGCCAGCCGGGAGCGCCTGCTCACTCCCCCAGTTCTGCCAGTGCTGAGCTGTCTGTGGTGCTGAAGTTTATTTTCGGCAGCCAGGAGTTCAAAGGCACGACGCTAATTTACGCCACGTGAGGTTCTAGACCAGGGTGAGAAACCTTCTTTGGGATAAATTGGGGGCCACACACAAATTAGAAGCAGAAAAAACCCTCAATCGGGGGCCACAGTGAGAACGAAAAAGACACTCCCCACATTCTCCTTGCACGTCAGAACCTAGGGGGCCCAGCCTAGTAGATTTTGTATGCTCCAGCCCCCAGAGGAGAAACTGGGGGGTTAGCACCAGTACGGGCTCCCCAATACAGGGAGGCCTGATTCTCTGGGACTGGATGCAGTGTGGGTAAGCTCTGAGCATCTTCACTGGGCACAAGTTGAGGACTATAGCAGGTGTAAGGAGGCCCTATTGGCCTGTGTGACATCACTACAAAACATGGGAGAATCCACATTCTCTTTTCTCTACCTCAGCAAGGCTGCTGGGCAGGGTTAAGTGGCTGCCATTGGGAAAATCTCCATGTGAGAGGTTGAGCAGCCAGCAACTGCCAAACCCTGGGAAGAGAAGGAAGAGAATTGCTATGTGCAATGCCCAGGAGTGGCCAATGTTATAAGTAGCCCATCTTACAACATGAGATGCAGGAAGAATCCTGAATTTTCTGCTCTTCCATGGAGTTATCTTTTCCATGGAAAGAGTCAGCTTTCCATCATCTTATTAAATTCACCTCCTCCCCAAACCACAGCTGTGGGACTCTGGTGATGTTCCATGGTAGTACAGCAAGAGGAGAAGCAATCATGCAGCATCATGCCCTAAGCCAGAGGATGGGAGGATGTGGTATCACAGGGACCTCTCTGGTATTTCTGAGATGAATGACTAAAAGTTTGGTCTCCACAAAGAACAAAACACACAATCTATTTTTGTTCAAATTTACTTCATACTCTTCTGGTACAGAAAGGAGTGGGATGCCATGTTTCCCTAGCCTTGTACTTCATAACGCCAACAGCAAATTTAATTATTTAAAAACAACAGAAGGAAAGAGTAGCACAAATTAATCACCCGGGTATGAATTACCCCAATGGTGGCTTTGGTTCCCTGAGCTCATTAATGAGGTGTAGTGTCTCTCTGACTCAGGTATTCCCAGTTGCTTCTGGGATAATGTACCGTAGATCACAGATCTCAGTATAAAACTTCCTGAATGCTCCAAATGGCAATATCTCTTGATGGGAAACACCACCGCGTCTGTCTCTTCTCAGTAGGTACGTGCTATTCTCCTGCATCACAGACACACACTCATAGAGACACCAGGGTGATCAGCAGGTATGAAATTGAAGATTCCCCAGAACTAAACACCTGAGCCCAGATCCTGCTCCTCAAACTAAAGAAAAAACTTCATACACTTTGTAATTGCCTGTTTTTCCAAACACTAAAGACAACACTTTCTCTGGGCTTTCCTACAGACTAAAAACATGACACAACGAATGTCATTAGCACAGCACACACTCTTTATCCCAAACTGAGATGCCAAGCCACAGATTTCCCCTTGCCTAAAGGGGGCAGAGAGATTGACAGAAATTAATTTCACCCCTTCTTCAGTTAAGCAATGATCTCATCTCACTGAGATGGTTTCACACTGATTCTCCTACAGCAGAGGCACAACTCTCTGTTTGCTGCAGAGATTAGGGAACAGGATTGTTTTTGTGAGCAGTACAGTTTACTGGTGTGACTTTGTATGTGTACAGCGTGTGCATTGTCTGGAACAACTGGAATGACTAAGTGTTAATGTAACCACCACCTGGCGGATTTGAACCTGTGACTTCTGAAGCAGAGTACAGGAGCCTCTACTCTCTGAGCTAAAAGCCAGCCAGCTCCTAACCCATGCTGTAGAGGTCCCTTGATTTTAGCTGTTGCTGTGGTCTAGGTACCACTTGCATTGGTCAGTAACCACACTAGGTGTGTGGGTTACATTAACACCTGGCTCTGGGAGGCTAAACCCTTCTTTCAGGTCACAGTGGCATCGTTTTTTCAACACTTCATTACAGAGGAGGGACAGGTGTACAGAGCCATCCACCTGCCCACCTCCCTGTTGCTGCCTGATCTCAGCTCAGAGGAGATGGAAGAGGGAAATCACTCGGAGGTGACTGAGTTCATTCTCTCAGGACTAACTGATCGTCCGGAGCTGCAGGTCCCCCTGTTTGTGTTGTTCCTACTGATTTATGTTGTCACCCTGGTAGGTAATGGAGGGATGATCTTCTTAATCATTATTGACCCCCGACTCCACACCCCCATGTACTTTTTCCTCGGGAATTTGTCTTTCTGTGATCTCTGCTATTCCACAGCAGTTGCCCTCAAGATGCTGCAGAATTTCTTAGTCAAGACGAAAAGCATTTCGTACACTGCCTGTGCTGTGCAATTATATTTATGTTACCTTTTTCAAGATGTAGAGTGTCTCTTGCTGGCTGTGATGGCGTATGACCGCTATGTGGCCATCTGTAACCCGCTGCTCTATACGGTCACCATATCCAGGAGGCTTTGTATCCTTCTGGTGGCTGGGGTGTATGCGGTGTCATTGGCAGATGCAACAACATATATCTACTATATATTCCAGCTGTCATTCTGCCGCTCTAACATCATCAATCATTTCTTTTGTGACACCCCCCCGTTGTTAGCGCTCTCCTGCTCTGACACCCGCATCAGTGAGATTGTGATGTTTGCCTCTATGTGCTACATTATAGCGAGCAGTGTTGTGATCATTCTCCTCTCCTATGTCTATATCATCTCCACCATCCTGAGGATCCGCTCTGCTGAGGGCTGGCGCAAAGCCTTCTCCACCTGCGCTTGTCACTTGATCACAGTGGGCATGTTTTATGGCACCCTCCTCTTCATGTATTTCCGACCCACCTCCAGCTATTCCATGGACACCGACAAAATAACCTCCGTGTTCTACACACTGGTGATCCCCATGTTGAACCCTCTCATCTACAGCCTCAGGAACATGGAGGTGAAGGGTGCCCTGAGGAAAGCCATGAATAAACTCCGAAGGATTTCCTGAAGCTTTTTAACTCAGTCCAAACTTTTCATGGTGTTGGGGTTGGTTTTATGATATAGTCACAATTGTGAATTGTGATATTTATAGCTGAACCAAATGGAGTTTGTGTACCCTCTGATAATCTATGGCTTTTTGTGTACACTGTTTTTTGGTTGCAGAGATTGTCACTTGTTTTGTGTTCTTGCACAAGGAGGATACATGTGCTTTCCATCACAATGAGCTTTATTTATGAGCCCAAAACTCAAAAGGTAATATCAAAATGTTTTTAAGTACATCAGAAGCAGGAAGTGTGCTAAATAGCCAGTGGAGCCCCTGGACAATTGAGATACAAAAGGAGCACTTAAAGACAATAAACTAATTGTGGAGAAACTAAAGGAATACTTAGCTTCAGTCTTCACAGCTTAGGTGGTTAGGGAGATTCCCAAACCAGAGTTTTCCTTTGTTGCTGACAAATCTAAGGAATTGTCACAGATTGAAGTGTCATTAGAGGAGGTTTTGGAATTAATTGACAAACTTAATAGTAACAAGTCACCGGTACCAGATGGAATTCACCCAAGAATTCTGAAAGAACTCAAATGTGAAATTACGGATCTATTAACTATGGTTTGTAACCTATCCTTTAAAACAGTTTCTGATAGCTAATGTAATGCCAATATTTAAAAAGGGCTCTAGAGGCGATCCTGGAAATTACAGACCAGTAAATCTAATGCAGTACCAGGCAAATTAGTTGGAACAATAGTAAAGAATAAAATTGTCAGACACATAGAAGAACATAATTTGTTGGGCAAAATATGGTTTCTACAAAGGGAAATCATGTCTTACTAATCTATTAGAGTTCTTTGAAGGGGTCAACAAACTTGTGGACAAGGGGGAATCCAGTGGATATAGTGTACTTAGATTTCCAGAAAGCCTTTGACAAGGTCCCTCACCAAAGGCTCTTATGTAAATTAAGTTGTCCTGGGATAAGAGGGAAGATCCTGTCAGGGATTGAGAATTGGTTAAAAGACAGGAAACAAAGAGTAGGAATAAATGGTAAATTTTCAGAATGGAGAGGGGTAACTAGTGATGTTCCCCAAAGGTCAGTACTAGGACCAATCCTATTCAACTTATTCATAAATGATTTGGAGAAAGGGGTAAACAGTGAGGTGGCAAAGTTTGCAGATGATGCTAAATTACTCAAGGTAGTGAAGACCAAAGCAGACTGTGAAGAACTTAAAAAATATCTCACAAAAGTAAGTGCTTGGGCAACAAAATGGCAAATGAAATTTAATGTGGATAAATGTAAAGTAATGCAAATTGGAGAAAATAACCCCAACTATACATACAATATAAAGGGGGCTAATTTAGCTACAGCTAATCAGGAAAGAGATCTTGGAGTCATCGTGGATAGTTCTCTGAAGATGACCACGCAGTGTGTAACGGCAGTCAAAAAAGCAAACAGGTGTTAGGAATCATTAAAAAAGGGATAGAGAATAAGACGGCGACTATCTTATTGTCTCTATATAAATCATGGTATGCCTACATCTTGAATACTGTGTACAGATGTGGTCTCCTCATCTCAAAAAAGATATACTGGCATTAGAAACAGTTCAGAGAAGAGCAACTAAAATGATCAGGGGTTTGGAATGGGTCCCATATGAGGAGAGATTAAAGACACTAGGACTTTTCAGCTTGGGAAAGAGAAGACTAAGGGGGATATGATAGAGGTATGAGTGGTGTGGAGAAGGTGAATAGGGAATGGTTATTTACTTGTTCCCATAATACAAGAAGCAGGTCTCCCAATGAAATGAATAAGTAGCATATTTAAAACTAACACAAAGACGTATTTCTTTACTCGTTGCATAGTCAACCCGTGAAATTCATAGCCAGTGGATGCTGTGAAGGTTAAAAGCATAACAGGGTTAAAAAAAAGAATTAAAAAGTGCACTGAGGATAGGTCCATCAGTGACTGCTAGCCAAGATGGTCAGAAATGGAATCCCATATTCTAGAAGTCCATAAATCTCTGATTACCAAGAGATGGGGTTGGACAAAAAGGGGTGGATCACTCAATAATTTTCCTTTTCTGTTCATTCTTTCTGAAGCACCTGGCACTGGCCACTGTTGAAGACAGGATACGCTAAGGACACAGGAAAACAAGTAAGAGCAGGAGTAACGTTCCCAAGAGAGAGTATGGTTTGGGTACCTAGTCTATGACAGTCTGCGCTGAACTGAATAGACAATAGCATGGAAATGGTGAGTTTTCTTTACAACATCAGTTAAAAAGAAATTATTTCAAGCATAGAGACACCAGATAATTATACCACATCAGCAGAGTGGCTATGAACTCTTGGTCTCCCTGAGATTTATAGAATCATAGAACTGGAAGAGATCATCTAATCCAGTTACCTGCCCTCAGGGCAGGACCAAGAACTAACTAGACCTTCCCAAACAGGTGTTCATTTCACCTGCTTTTAAATATGTCCAGAGATGGAGATTCCACCCCCAGCCATTTATTCCCATGTTTAGCTATTGTGACAATGTTGAAAGTTTTCCTAATGACCCATCTAAACATCCCTGGCTACAATTTAAACCCATTCCTTCTTCTCCTGTCATCGGAGGTTAAGGAGATTAATGTTTTTTCCTTCTTTTTTATAACACCCTTTCTCATATTTGAAATCTATTCTCTTGTTCCCTCTTGGCCTTCCATTCTCCAGACTAAATGAACCCACTTCTTTCAGTCTGTCTGGAGAGGTTATGTTTTGCAGATTTTCAATCACGTTTGTTACCCTTTGCTGGACTTTTCCAGTTTCTTCACAGCTTTCCTGAGTGTGGTTCCCAGAACTGGACAACATACTCCAGTTGAGTCATAATCAGCATGGAGTAGAGCGGAAGCATTGCCTCTTGTATCTTGCTGACAGCACTCCTGATAACACATCCCAGAATAATGTGGGGATTTTTGCATCAGTTTCATAATGTTGACACATATATAGCCTGTAGGCCACTCTGACCCCTAGATCCTTTTCTGCGATACTCCCTCCTGGACAGTAATTTCCCATTTTGTGTGTATGTAACTGATTGTTCCTTTCTACAGGAGCACTTTGCATTTGTCCTTATTAAACTTCCTCCTATTTACCTAGAGTGATTTCAACAGTTTGTCCAGATCATTTTAAATTCTCATCTTTTCCTTCAAGACACTTGCCACTTCTCCCAGCTGGGTGTCATCTAGAACATTTATCGGGGTACTCTCTGTGCCATTTTCTGTAGCACTGATGTAGCTATTAAAAGGAACCAGACTCAGATAAACTTACAGCACTGGCATTGATGGTGGCTGAGAAAGATCCAGGACAGAACAAAGGGCCCTGTCCAGAAATGTCTCACAGGGAGGGATCAATTCTAAGTTATATCACTTCATGTAGCTATAACACATTTCAACGTATGGAAGAGTGCATCCCCTGCTGTATTAATGGGAGAGTTGCATCACAGAAGTAGTACAAATTCAATCACCTAACAGCATCATTGTAGACCAGCCTTGATAAGAATTCATGACGGAACACAGACACCGAGAGGAGGGAAGGGAAGTACAGAGATTGATGGGAAAGTGCTCTCTCACAGACTAAACATGTCTTCGTGTTAAATAAATACTGCTTTGTTTATCACAGTGGTCTTGATGTAGCCAGTGGTGTAGACATGACCTTAGTCTCCCCTGTTGGAGCTATTGTGTTGTGAATAAAACACAGGAAGAATCAAAGGACCAAAAGAAGGAGAATAATTCTATAGACAGGTTATTTGGGGAATCCATCTCAACAGTGCTATTCTCAGTTTCATGCATTTATTCCAAAGATTAATTAATTAGTTAGAAAAACTTTGGAAGGAGAGGTTGAGAGCATCTCAGGCTATGTCTAGACTACAGAGTTAAATCAGGAAAAGATACACAAATTGCGATCTGCAATTTCTGTCTCTTTTTCCACCTTTTTTTCAGAAGAGGCTTTTCCAAAATTCAGCCCGTCTACACGGGACCAAATTTTGGAAAAACCTCCACTTTCAGAACCAGCCTTCTTCTTCATTCACTGGGGAATACAGGGATGACAAAATAACGCGTCCACTTTTTCAGAAATTGTTCCGGAAAAGAGGACGCATTCCTTGGACACGGCATAGTTTTTCTAGGATACTGGAGGTATCCCAAAAAAGCTCTGCAGTGTAGACATAGCTTCAGAGCTGAATAGCAGATTCCTCCCTGGCTGGGATTCTTTCTGGAAATACAGGAAACCCAAGGGTATGTCTACACTACATGGCTCCATCGACGGAGCCATGTAAACCAGTTTACCTGGCACAGGCAAAGAAGTGGGGATTTAAATAATCCCTGCTTCATTAAAATAAACATGGCCGCCGCTCTGTGCTGATGATCAGCTGATCCGGCACAGCACAGTAGTCTAAACACGGGTCGATCGGCTAGGGAAGCCTTTGCCGACCGATCCCTTATGCCTCGTGAAACATACTAGACATACTCCAAGAGCACATCTTTGCCCGCACTAGACAGAAGCAGGAAGTGAATATAAAGAGTGGAGGCAACCACTACCACTTCCTACATTTGCTGCTTTGTGACCTAAATCTTCTCCCCTTCACCCATATACACTCCATGGTTTTGGGACAAAGCTATTCTAGAATCTGTAAGACGTCTATATTTTCAGGTCAACCAAAACTGCATTGATTTTAACAAGACATTATTATCTCATAAGAAATTCACCCATTTCTAGAGTCCTTTGCATCCTGGTTATTGAACCTAATGTTGACAATCTGAAAAATTGATTATAGACAGTTTCATTTCAAGTCCATTTCTATATGTTGGAACAAAAGGGCTAAGGAAGTGGACCCAAGAACTCCCAGATGGGTGATCTTAGCTTCTATAGGCAACATTAATGAATTGATAAAGTGTTCCTGAATTTGTTCATGCTGATAATAAAGGTAGATACATACTTCACTCTCAACCTTCCGTATAATTCCATTCACCATAAATGCACATTGT